GTACTTCCTAATATCCAACCTAAACCTCCCCTGGAGCAGCCTGAGGCCATGCCTTCTTGTCTTGTTGCTAGTTGCTTGGAAAAAGAGCCCAGCCCCCACCTGACTACAACCTCCCTTCAGGTAGTTGAAGAGAGTGAGAAGGTCCCCCCTGAGTCTCCTCTTCTCCAGGCTAAACAACCCCAGCTCCCTCAGCCTATCCCTGTAAGACTTTCCCTCTAGTCTATTCACCAGCCTCGTTGCTCTCCTTTGGGCCCACATCAGCACTTCAATATCCTTCTGTTCTTGAGGTCTGAATCTGCCCTTCCACCTGTAGTGATTTATTAGTGATAATGGATAGATAATCTTTGAAGTTTCCTTGTTCTGTAGGCATCTTGCACATTCTCCTGGCATTTAAAGAAGTGTGCACAATGTTACATACAAACCCTCTTGGCCATAACTTTTCCTCAATAAAAGCCTTTTTTTCTTTTAGATGAAGTTGAAGTGCTGAAGTCTATGCTCAAAAGATCTTTTACATTCATGTTGGGAAGGTTTTTTTGAAAATACATATACCCCAGAATGGTTGGAAGTGTGAAATTCAGTGTAATCTGGGAAATACAGTAACATTCCACTGTAGTTCTAAAATTTTTTTGCTGCCCCTCCACAGTCACTGTATTGGCATTGTTGTGTGTGACAACTCATTTACGTCTTGTCCTCTGTACTAGAATACACGTCTGTGAGATTTTTCTGTAGAACTTACATCTACTTATGATTACAGTAGCAGCATAACCTCAAGGTAGTCTCTGGATAAGAATTTGATGGGACAGAGCCTGAAAAAAATTAGTTCAAGTCTATGTTTCCTGCTGCCACAGTGTTCCTGATTGGTACCTATGCATTTATTCTGCAGTAAGTTTTTTCCAGAAAAATGAACCTCTGTAATATTTGGAAGTTGAATTTGTTGATTGAATTCTTATAAAAGAAGAGATGGAAGAAAAAGAGATAGAAAGAACTATACAGAACATAATTAAAGAAAAATAAAAATAAAAATCCAGGCTCTATAAGCTGAGTTATGAGCAGTGCAGAAGGTCAAGGGAAAACAATTGAATTTGTGTAAGGAAGAATAGAGAGCAAAAGAAAGGGGAAAGAAGCCACACCTGAACCAACGTTTTTTAACTGCTTAAGCACTGTGAACAGCACAAGGACCATTTGTCACCCCTGTGTTCCTGTAAATGTCTCCACATTTTACTATATTATGTGGCTTGTAACTATGTTCAAACAACATACTTCAGGCCTGATCCTGCTCTCAAAAGAAACTATTGACAAAGACCTCTGTGCAAATAGCTTTTTCACCAATATACACGTGCATGTATTGGGGAAGATGTCTAACTGCAATGTGGAAAAGTAGTAAACCTTGCAAACGTATTAAGTTTTACTTTCTACTTTTAGGATACAGATTTGGCCAGCTAAAAATGACTATGTTAGCTGCCTGTACAGCTCTTCTGTAGGTCTTGGAATTTGTTAATGAGAACACATAGTAAGTGGAGTAAACCCAGTATTAAAAGCTGTGCTTCAAAATCTAGTTGCATATTGGGGCAAGAATTGGTCTTAACAAATTACCTGATAATAAGGTCATTGAATTATAAAAGTAAAATAATATAAATAATATAAAACCATATTATTTTGTAGAGACATATTCAGTTATGATCTAAGTATAGAGGGGTATTTACATTAATCCCTTAAAAAAAAAAAAAAAAAAAGCATGGTTTTATAGGTAAGTCTTTATATTGTGGAATTCCTTTTACAAGCAAAGGACAACAGAGCAGCAGAAATGTAGGAATGAAGGAGAGGATCACCCAGCTCTGGGTGGGGAAGTGCCAGGGCAGGACAGGGCAGGGTGTGCACTCAGTCATGCACGCACAGCTTCTCTCTGGTTCCTTGCAGTTTCCAAGGGCTGTGTGGGAGTTGGAGAGGAATGCATTCCCAGCCTTTCTTTGAGGGGAGTAGAAATGATTTGAGTCTTAGTTTCAGAAGGGGTAGAAGGTAGGGAACTCTGTGGGTGTTAAAGCTCTTTTAGTCAATCATAAACAAACTAATTAATTTGGGTATTTAACTAGGTTAGGTATGAGTTGGAGCAGCTTCCCAAACCAGCTCACAAGATTCCTGCACAAACATAGTTTCCCACAACTTGAGGCTGGGGCTTGAGGCAGGAACACAGAGTTGTAGATAGTTGAGAAAACAGATAAAACCATGTATTGTGTCTAGGTTTATATTTTAGTTACAGATGGAGGAAATAGTTGGAGCAGAGCAGACCTGCCACACTGCATGCTCAGGCAAACCTTCTACCCCTTGCAAGGCCTGTAAGGGTTCAAACTATATAAAACATACCACATTGTATCAATGTCACCTTCATGGAGGTAGTGGGGGGTGGGTGGCTGTCCAGAAAATGGTTCACCAGTTTTAATAGATGTTCACTTTCTGACCAGGCCAAAGCCACCTGAATTTGAAGTGTAATTGTAAAATGAAAGACAATATTAGACCATGTCCAGCTCCACTGAAGATGTGAGATTTTGCTGTGGGCTTCAGGGAGGAACCTGAGAGAGTTCCTACTGATTGTTACACTTAAAAAGCTAAATTGGATAAGTTGAGAAAAGATCTTTCTTATACCATTTTTCCTTTTACAGGTTATCATGGAGGTGATTTTTAGCATAACTGCTTTTAACTTCCAGGCTTGTCTAAGATTTTGCATTATCGTTCATCTTTACTGGCACAGGTAAATTAATCGCATCAACACCCATTAATTATCAATCTGCAAAATAATGTTTATTAATTTCTCCTTAATTACAAATACAGCTCTAAATCTTAGAAAAGCACATTGCTTATAAAAAAGCGCAATTGTTCAGTCCAAACACAGCAAGTATTCAGTCATTACATGGAAAAATGCTATCTTGTAGGAGTTTCCTTGAGTAATTCATCAAAAGCTAAATTCATTAAGAAGTTTTGGGCCAAACTCTTGCAAATACAGGATTCCTTTCTCTATAGTAATAAATCAAAAAACCCTAAGGATGTACTTTTCTTTTAAAAGTTGTCCTTCTAATTTGCTGAGTATGCAAACTTTATGGCTATGACTATGATTTCTTTTCCATTTCTGGCCTGCATAAAAAGTTTCTGTACACAAATTCCAACAGTAATACCAGAAAATATTTTGGTTCTAGGCCGTGATTACACCAACTAGAAATATCTGCCTTACAAATCATAAAAATGTGCAAATGAAGCATATGCTTTCTCAAAACTGCACTTGAATTTAACCACGAGGTAATCATTATTACTTTATAATGGTTAAATATTTTACTGGTAATGCAATGGATTGTTCTTTAATTTTTAAGGAGATGGATGAGTAGATTACAGTATTGATAGTGAAGACAGATTTTACTCTACATGCTATTTTTCTTTATAAGCCATCAAACTGACTACAGCAAAAGTTTAAAGGTTTGTCACACAAAGTAGCAAAATAGATTTTAAGTTTTTTCAATTTTGTATTGCTTATTTTTCATTGTATAAACCAACCTGATATCCAACTTTTTTGTAATTAAATGATGACAGCTTGAAATAAAAACTGTCCAAAAGTTTTGAGACTTTTAGACAAAAATGTTAATTCTGAAGCAATTTCCATGATAAGGAAAATACTGGCCCCACTGAGTTCAATGGCAAAACTGCCACTGTCATAATTTAAACCAGGTTTCAATCAGTGAGTTTATAAAGTAGTCTTCTAAAAACAATTCTAAAATTGTATCCTTAATCTTTATGATAAGATTATGTAGTATGTTCAATAAAAGGAAGAGTGTTTTTGGTTTAAGGTGCTGAATCATGAACATTTACTACCTGACTGATCATGAATAGCTCATCTAAGCCCTTCAAAACATCTATTTTACCTGGTTATTTTTTTCCTGGACTTAAAAATAATGAAATCTAAATTTGGTAAATAGTCCAAAGTTCAATTATAAAAAAATAAAATAAAAAATAATCACTACTTTAATGTATTTTATAAAAATATCCTGAACACAGATCTTCCAACTGGAAAACAAAAAGAACAAACCCATAATGAACAGCTAAAATGTGCAGTATGTTGATTTTTTAAAAAATAAATATATATATACATAGACTCTTACTCGACAGCTAGTAAACAGCCAATTTCATCTTTATGAAAACTGAAAAATGGATACAGAATAGAATCCTTCCTATCAGAAGCAGCCTTTATGTTATTTGTATTAAAGGAACAAAAACATGAACTTTTTGGCCTTTGCCTAGTCATGCTTCATAGTTACAATATATATAAAAATTAAATAAATGTCAAATGTTTAAAGACATTATGGTGATTCTACTATATGCTCTGGAGACTTACTACAGGTACTTAAAGGCCACAGTTGTGGTGTTTCTCAGTGACTTACATTTAAGTGGGTCCAGTCACTGACAGCAGCTTAATGGACAAAAGATAGACTTTTCAGCAAGATAAAAAATGTTTCAGTTGAACACATTATTATTATTTTAATAAATTAATTCAGTCATTCTCAAAACCCTCATATGCTTCTTCCCCACTTAAACATGGGGCCAGTGATGGTTCTCAACTGGAAGTTTTGGAGTAAAGGAAAAGAGCCACTGAGAATTCTGAACATTGAGGATAAGTAGCCACAATCTAAGAATTTAAAACACTGGAAGCACAGACATTAATCAGCTTTCAGCTGCTCCTCAGAAAGCCACCAAGTAGAAATAAATGACTAAACTAGACCTCCTTCAAAAGCATTTGTTTGTAGGTTTTTTCTACAAATGGCTATAATTAGAAAGAAAATTTGAAGAACAGTGAACAACATCACCTTTACTAAATTTGAGAAAAGTTACATTACAAAGCACATTTGAGGACTTTTTTTTTTCCCCCTGCAGAATACAATAGCCATCCAGGGTCAAAAACAGAGTCTCGTGAAGGAAAACTGATTTTAATTCTTCAGATTAAATTGTATCCACAGTAACATTCAGTTCCATTGGCATGAGCAGTCTATAGGCTCTTGAATGACATACATAATTTCAGTGCCATTTCCGGAGCAGCGGAGCGGCACAGTCAGATCCCGTGTGCCAGTTTCTCGACAGCATTTGCAGAATCTTAAGTGACTATCAATATTGACATTGAAAATTGTTGCAGATGGGCATTTTCCATCACAGGAAGCCACATTGATCTAAAAGTAAAAGAAGATCTGAAATTAGACATCTCAGATTTTGTTAACAAGATAGTCCTTGTCAGAATTCTTTGCAATTAAAAGTAATTTTTATATTTGGAAAGAGCTCTTAAAAATTATTTTATCTTCTAAAATTTATTTGTTCCAAGTGTAGATACATTTTAAATATTTTTTATTATTTTTTTTTATTTGGTTGTTTAATCATGCTTAACCATAAGCAAAATGTTGTGCTTTGGATACCTAAATCAAGTCCCAAATTTACAAATCAGTAACTCCAATACAGCATAGCTAAATTCACATTCTTTTCATGCTCATGGCTGAAAAGTGAAAGCCTTAAAGCCAAATGACAGAAAGTCCATCATTCTCCCTGAAGGTTCAAGAGGAAAAGCATATCTGTGCAAAAGCATTTCCATTTCTTATTCATACATACCAATATTAGCTGTGTTATTACTGTAACAAATACATCCAAAAAGCAGATGCAGTAGCAAACCAGCGAGGGTAGGGACTGGCTATAAAATTATTTGTGCTCTAGACTTGAACAGAGCAAAGTTTCTCTCAGTATTGCTTTATGTGAAGTGTCATCTTAGCTGATATGCTGACAGAAAATAAAAAGGAGTTGATATGCTGGGAAATTGAGAATGGCTGTACTAGATCTACTTATTTTTGTGATCATTCTAAATTAGTTTTTTTTGTGTTAGTGTGGCATATGAAAAATGCTTTGATCCATTCCTCTCTAAACAGCCTGTGAACAAATGGGCCATATCAAAACAAATTAGACCAAAAGGTTACTCTTACGGCTTTACTGAAATTTGAGAAGGAAAAATAAAGACCTTGTCCTCAACACTAACCATCTGTTATTAATTAATAAAATGTAATTATTCTCAGCCTTATCCAAAGTTTGACAGTGTTGATCTGGCCAAAGAACATGTATGTAGTTCCAAACCAGATACAGCAGATACCTCCATTTGATGGACCAAAATAATGATTGAGAGTGCCAGGGGATTTGCACCAGTGTTTCCATCACATCCTAAGTGGAAGCATTTCTACTCCTCTTTTAGAGAGGGTCATTATTTCATGGTGAAGACTTCAATGCCTTTGTTAGTTGTCAGTAATTATACTGTGTACTTTTAATTTGAAGCCAGATGTTTTTACATGTAGGAGAGCTCAGTCTTTCAGCCATAGGAACAGGAAAGTTTATTGCATTTATGAGAAGAATAACATTCCTGGGGTCACAGGTCTGCTTCTGAGAAGACAGTGGCATATTTCCTTGCTTATAACCCACTTAAGGCTCTATCTGTTTTATGCCCAGAATCAAACACAGGTCTTTTCTGCTTACCGGACTTTGACTTATACAGTCATTTTTTCTTATGGTTGTCCTGATTGTCATTTTCTGGCAAATCCTTTCTTCTTTTTTGCCTGATAAAATACAGAAAATGCATTCTGAATCAATACAGTTTTTGTACTGCATTTACTACTAAAAAAAAGTGAAACTAGTAAAATAATTCTAATAATTATACTTTTAAAATTAATGTCCACAGTGAAACTGCTACTTCCATAATTACACAATGTTTTAGAAAAAAACCAAAAAACTCTCAGGTAGTAATAAATAGTTCCTGTGCAGGATTATCCATTTTATAGCTGGCACATGAGATATCAAGTGGCCCATCAAGTCATACAGATTTTAGAAATATTAAAATATTGATATTGCACATATGGCAAGACAAATATAAGAAAAAAGAAAAAGACAAATAGAAAAAAGATGCCTCAAGTAATTTTGGATACTCTTAAAATTAGAATTAATTATTCTTAAAATAGTCTTAAAGTGGATAGTCTTAGAATTAATGAGTTAATTCTGGTATAGTAGGAATATTGAATGTAAACAATACTTTGATTCTGCATTGTAGAAATTCTACAGCACTTAACATTTGAGAAGGTAAAGCTGTGAATGTGATTACAACTTTGATATTTAAAATTTAAATAGAACTATGTAATTTCAATATAATTTTGAGAAAAATGTCCTTCAGGGAAGCTTTGAAAGAGAGACATGCATATATTTGCTAAATTTGGTGCAGTTTATACCGCCAGAACTGAAGCATGTAGCACTGAGTCAGCATACAGATATTGGATTAAGGAAATACTGCATTTTTAAGTATATTCTGCAATATATTAGTTGGGTGCTTTTTTCTTTTATTTGAAAAATAAAGTTGTAGACCGCAAAGCCATTTCTAGCATAATAAGAATCATCATATAATACTGAAACAATTAAATGTACAGTCTTTCATGCTGCATTCTACATCAGATGGTTATTACTATCTGTGTAACAGCTGTTATTTAGAACTCCTGTTTCACTGCTCATCAAAATAATCTATTAGTTTTGCTATGCAACCATTCTGGACATCCACTATACAAAATAACAGGCACTACTCAGCAGAGTTTCTCCGCCTTCAGCACATGCCATCCTGGTTGGATGTGCATAAAAAGAACAACTTTTCTGTTCCCCAGAAGCTTATGGGCTCTTTTATAAGGTAAGTGAGCTCTGAGTAACCAAGACATTTTGCAACCACAGCTCCAGTGGGTATTTAAAAATTAGGCTGACTGCAGAGTACAGTTGGATTTTAATTTAAGCATTGCAGGATTAAAGAAGATCCTGTTACTGAACTAGTAGATCACTGTATGATCAAAGCTGGTAGCCTGCAGCATCTTGGTTTTCCTTCCTCGGCAACACTTAAAAAAAAAGAAGTCCTCTGGTATTTCCTTCAGAGAGTGCTTGCCAGCAGTATGTGTAGACAATGCAACCTTTGTACCTCTGCAAGTCATATAGAGAGTCATATGACAGTTCAGAGTGTAAGGTGCTGGTGTCTAATGAAAACTCTGCTGCTACACTTTCCTCTCTCACACCTTCACCTGTCAAGACAATCTGTGTTCAGAATCAGGTGTGCTTTCTTCACTCACTCCTTATTTGATGAAGGAGTTTCTGTGACTTACCTATCCTTAAAAGCAAAGAATTACGATCACAATACAAAAGTTCTGTAACATTCTGTAATTGGTAGTGTAAAGATTATTTATTAACACACAGTTGTAATTGTATGTTTCATCCCCAGTGTTTTTATAACTTTATAAAACACATGATTTGTGATAAAGAAGAAATGCGGCATAAATCCATGTCTGCAAAGGTGACACCAGCAGTAATGCACACTCTTGCTCTATAGTAAGGCAAAACAGTTAAACTCAGACACCTGTGATCAAATTTAGAATCCCTTGGTAACAGTATTCAGGATGATGACATTTTTGGAAGTAATGACTTATTACAACTACCCTGTACAGTAAGTTCAAGTATTAAAACCAACTTCAAAAAAGAACAGGAGAAAGAACCATCAGCAGCATGTACCATGAATGGATGAACCTAATTCTGATAGGTGCTGAGCAGTGAACCCTAATCAGGCTTTAGAAAAATACTGGTCTGGGAGCCCGAAAGGGGATCAGTATCTCTCAGTACTCAGTACATTAACTGCAGGGTAACATTTACTGGTGATGACAGCTATACACATATATCAAGCAGTGCTTATACTATTATTTAAAAAAAAGAAAATACATTATTAAAAATAATACCTGGTTCACAATTAATACTACCAGTAGGCACTACTGGACTAATGGCAAAGGGTAATAGACCCAATCCAGAACCTGGCAGAATCATTAGGAATGTAAGTTTCTCATTAAACAAAAACATTTTAATATAAATGACATTTCATTAATTCTTACACTGCCAACTGCAATTTTTCTTTTAGCAAAAGATGATAAGCTTTCCTGTTAGTCTTCCAAATTTAGAAACTCTGCAGCTGCTTCCAGTCTTTCTAAAGATGGCCTAAACTTTATTACTCTCCTGGTTAACACAAAACTGGAATGATGCTTCCTTGTAAACCAGACTTTTGCAATGTGTCTCTCTATGGCAAGGTAAGAATTAAATAGATGCACTCAGTTGGCATGCATTGAATCAAGCTCTTTCAGAAAGATTATTTGTTCCCATTAAAACCCCAAAGTGTTGCAAGCTCTATTTATAAGTATTCTTTTTAACTGTTTCACCACAGGGCACATGCTTTTAGTTAAAAATGGGAAAAAAAAAAAAAAAGCATATAATTACATTAATTATATCTGCTTTTTTAGCAGCCACGTCAGCAAGAATTTCTGAAGTATAACAATGCTTTTTCTGAGGCCACAGAATTGGGCCAAAATTACAAATCTTCCTAGTCAACAGAGAGCCAGTAGCTATTAATTCTTTAGACTAATTTTCTAAATAAAGCCAACTTCATTTGATAGGTGGGGGGGCAATTCAATATTTTTCAACATAAATTATTTCATTAAATAATATTGATTAATAAAACTTTAGCACACTTAGTGTATTACTTCTTAATCCTTATTCAAAAAAGTATTCTGTTGTATTAAAATAGCTTTTATTTGCTATGCATTGAACTCAATAAAACAACAATACTTGCACTTTACTTAGAAAGCTTTGCATAACTTGGAAACTTTGAGTATTCTTCTGTATTTGATAAATATGAATATTTCACTTTATGTCACCAAATTATTTACAACACATTGCACTTCTGAATTTTATTTAATAACTAGTATATGGCTATAAGTCTGTGACTTCCAATTTGATACTATTAAGTAAAGGTTTGTCTAAAAAAAATCTGAAGGCTAATTTACTCATATATTTGAACTCTACCATTAAACATTAAAAAAAGGACAAAAAAGAGGGGGGGGATTTTCTGTGATGTTGCTCTACACACTTAGTTTTACACAACAGTGTTTTAATTTTATGTATAGACCATTATATAACTTGATAATAAAAACTTTCCTCGTCAAAACTGCAGAGAAAATAAGTTCATTCTCAATCAACTTTTTAAATTGCATAAATGATGAAACCTTTATATAAGCTTGCATCACAATGCATCATATTTTAAAGTTACACACTCAGAAGATGTGAAAGTATTGTCAGATTTTAAAAAGTTAATTTTATATATTTTCTTATACTATAACTTTCCCTCATCTGAGATTAATATATATATATATATGTGCATTCCTGTATTTTTGGCCCTAGAAAATATGTACACATGATACAGAATAAATTGGTAAGTTTGGAGTCATTGAATCAGGAGTCAATTATAGAGGTGAAAATCCTTATTTTTCTTGGTGAATATCATATAGGCAATATTTTAGAGTCGGCTTAGCAATATAGAGAACGTTGTCTGTATTTTAAACTAGATAACTTTTCATCTTCCACAAATTATATTTGGAGAAATTTGGTTATACTCCAGAACAAGAATGTTAAAAATCACCAAGTCAGCAGCCAAATGAAGCAAGAACTTTTAATAGAAGTAGTTAGGTAACTAAAACAATTGTATGTGATTTATGGGGGGACCGCATGCTTTTTCCTTCCTTATGTCCCAGCAGCTGAGGTTAAAAAACAAGCCCTCCAAAACCGAAGCCAAACTACCACATATTGCAGCCTTCATCACTTACAGGTCTTGCAGCAGCCATCATTATACGTCTGCACAGTTCCTCCATTCTAGGAAAATAAAAGGAGAATATATGAAAAAAGACTGTGCCCAAAGCAAAGGTGAATTGTATCTCAAGACATTCCATGTTTTAAAGATGTCCAACTAATAAAAAGCAAAATTACTGAAATGAAGAGACCTACACATGTGTGTCAGCTGAGGGTTAGATTCACAAATTCCATACATCTTTGACATTGAGAATTAACTTGTCACTGCTTATCTGATGTAGCTGGGGATTTTTTATATCATCCATTACCACCTATTTCACCCCCAATGAGCTAGTTTAAAAAAATCATGTGGCAGCTTTACTGATGATGTGGAAAGATTTACACTGATCATATGCCAAGGAGAAAATTAATACTTATTTAGTAGCTCTTAACAACATGAAATATACCTATTTTCAAAAGAGAAGACTAACTTCAGAATTTGAGAACCATTGGTGTGCTCAATTCTTTTTGTCAATTATGATCTTTGATACTGACTTCTGTTAAAGTTGCTTGTTAGCTAGAAAGTAAAAAATGTATGAAAGTGAAGAAAACATCCTTTTGAAATGAAAAGGGAGCATGAGAGGGAGAGAGAGACAGAGGCTGTCGGAATCTGTTAGAATGGGCACAAGAAAGAAACACATGCCCACAATGTTAGTGCCTAGCCCAGAACTGGATATCCAGTACAGAACGGAACATAAATAGCACTCTTACAATAACTGACTTTTTTAAGCTTCCATCTTTTCATGCTAGCATGCATTTTTTTATCTCATTACAGAAAAATTACTGAATACATTGTTCAAGGACTTCTTACATGAGCACTTAAACTCAGCCTCTTAAATCCATTTTCCTAAATTATCCTGAGCTGCCTGTCAGAAGAGCTTTCTCCTTAGCTACTGATTCAAGTCTGTGCTCAGTATCTCTGAAAAACAGGTCAGAATTATTCAGGAAGTTAATTTTAGGGCTCCAGTCTTTAAAATCTGAGCCATTATTAGTAAGGAAAGATCCTAATAGATGGTGACAAAAGGATTCCAAGGAAGGAACTCAAGCATAAAGTCAAAGTAGAACAGGTATTAATTTTAGATAGAATTCCTTCTTCAGGGTCAGAAGAAATAAGGACTTTTAAACAAATACAATGGCTAAGTAGGACTTGTGCTAAATTTACCATCTGTAGTCAAGGCAGAAATGGTACTTATCCTGTACACATGTACATGTATTTTATTATGATTTATAGTTTATATTTATGATATGTTGCAGCTGAAATAATTATAAGTATTGTATAGTTAGAAAATTATTCAATTTGGAATTAAATTGTAAACAAATATTTAACATATGTGAAGCATCTACATTCTTCAAACCAATTTATGTGGGTATGCCAGCTTTATATTTTTAGACAGACGATGTTGGTAGATACTCTTTCATGTATGGTAGCTATTTTTTGTTATGTTATACAAAGTTTAGTTTAAGAGATAATAAAGTTTATATATGTATTCTGTCATCTTTCTAATCTTTGCACAACTTCAGGAATTTCTAATATAGCACTTTGTATCGGTACATCAAGCATGATTCCAATTCCACAATATTTTAAAAGCAGTTATAATTAAAACCCAAAACAAACTTTCATACTCCTTACAGATAATTTGACAGTCAAAAAGCAAACAGGAACACAGAGAACAAGCCTGTAAATTGCTTGCTTACATGTTTTACTTACCACGCTTTTATTTAAGGAAACTGCATGAGGTGTGCATGCATTGTCAAGTGTAAGCCAGACTCCAGATCAGTTGTTGTCACTTACCTCACCCAAAGTACAAACCTTTGTACACTCAGTGTCATTAAATGGGGGGCAGACAACACTTGATCCCAGTATGATAGCCCCTGCAGCAGTCTTTGCACACTTGTAGTTGGTGCAGTTGGAGCTCCAGGTACTTCCTTCCTGAATATATAAAACAAAACCATTGTCAGGAAAGGCAGAACATTACAGCTTTATCTCCAAGCCCAAATGTCTGTATAAGTGGTGTCCTCATGCTGTAGTACCTATTGGAGTGGAAAGTTTGCTGCAGACCACCCGTACATGGCAAAGGGAAAGATGATTCCCTAACTACTCTGGCAACTCCTCCCTGGAGCCATGGCTCTACTCTCCACCACGCTGCTCAGCATTGGTGTCCTAGTGCAGAACAAAAGGCCTCTGTGGCAGTAAAAAAGTCCAATAGTTCATTTTGCTCTGAAGGCAATGGAAAGCATGAATCAAATCATGGCCACATCTACTTTTCCTCACATGTGGATACTGGAACACACCATCAGGATCGTGAACCCTCGTGTTTGCACACTTCCTTTCTGTAGAGACTGGAATGAGGAGAAGAGTCACCCTGGGAAGGAGTACTGATGTGGACTCAGAAGCTCCCAACTCACCTAAATCACAGTGTCTGACTTAGTGTTACAATTTGAATGCTAACCTGCACTTCAAGCATATCCAGCCTAAGGTAAATTATGACTTGCATTATGATTTGCATATCTTTGTCGAAAATTACCTCCAATAAAATGAAATAACATATTAACCTAGTGTGCAATGGCAGGCCTTAAAATAAACACACATTTTTCCTATCATATACCAGAAATAGCCCCTAAGTGTGTAACCAGCAGTGAGAAGGTATGAAGCAAAATTCACGGGATGAACTGAGTAAAGAAGTGACTCTCAAACACCTGTTTATTGTTATTTTCTGTCTCTCTCTAGAGGCACTTACATTGTACAGAATTAGTGTTCCATTCTCAGTATGAAAAGAGCAAGACACATTTTGACAAGTACCACAGCAAGTGTGCTGACTGGAGGAAGGGATATATATTTGATGCTGGAAAGAAAAGAAAGAAGAAAAAAAAGAAGAAGAAAAAAGTATTATTTTAAACATACAGTACATGAAAATTCATTGATTTCTGAAACTAAGAATACCAAGAGAAACAAAATATGCATGGATATGTTTACATATGCTGCTAGGAGTTGCCTCTCAAAATAATCCTAGAGACACAAGGCACACATCATCACTGTTAAGTTCTCAAGTTCTAGCTGAGCAAACGAGACTAGCAAATATCATAACTTTTATCCTAATTGTGTAGTTGTGCTCACAAATTGCTTCACCAAATCACAGAACCACAGAGTATCAGGGGTTGGAAGGGACCTCCAAAGATCATAAAGTCCAACATCCCTGTCAGAGCAGGACCAAAAAAAACTAGGGCAGAACACTCAGAAAGGCATCCAGACAGGTCTTGAAAGTCTCCAGGGAAGGAGACTCCACAACGTCTCTGGGGATCTTGTTCCAGTGCTCTGTAACCCTCACAGGAAAGAAGTTCTTCCTCATGTTGAGGCAGAACTTTCTGTGCTCGAGTTTGAATCCATGGCCCCTCATCCTACCACAGGGCACAAGTGAAAAGAGCTTGTCCCTGCCTTCTTGACACCCAGCCCTCATGTATTTATAGACATTCATTAGATCCCCCCTCAGTCTTCTCCTCTCTAGACTGAAAAGCCCCAGGTCTCTTAGCCTTTCCTCATAAGGCAGGTGTTCCAGTCCCTGTATCATTCCTGTATTTTAAAATACTCACAGCTTCACATTGCTGGGAACAGTTCACCATTGTAAAATGCATGATGTTGTATCCTGTGTTCTGGTCTTTTTCTTGTAAACACTGTACAGTGTAACAAAGGTCTCCATCCAAGTACTGAATCACTGACTGCCCAGGATTCAGTACTGTGACCTCTTGGAAGATGCACACATCATCCTTCTCTAGCACCAAAAGAAATAAATGTTACCAGAGGGGAAAAAAATAAATAAATCACTAAGCAAATTAAAAGAATCTCTCTAAAGACAAAAGGGAATGTCTTATGCTCTGCTTAACTATTCTAACTTTTAGACTTGATTGGTTTATGGTTTTAATTACCAAACAGGGGGGTGAGGAAGTGTAATTCAGCTTAAGAAAATGCTACAAAATGCAAAACTGCTTAAAACTGACAGTGTTCCTACTACGAAAGTTAAAAAATTAAAACTGCTGTTCTTAGCTTTAGAGAGTTCTAATATTTAACATGGGGCTGAGTGCACGATTTGAATTACTCTGCACATCCCAAAATGTAGCCTTTCTGTCAATTAAACTAGTATGTCTACAGTTACTTGTGGGACAGTAATATGCTCAAGCTGTACTGTAAATGTATGTTTTGCCCCCAGAGTCAGCTTAGGCTGGGATGCAGTCAAGATTGCAGTGTACCCCAAGCACCTCCATGCACAGTGCAGCTGAAATCTAATCTACATAGGGTTGCTGAGTGAGCGAAGGGAGTAGAGGTCTGATCTTAAGGGTATATGCCTATCCTCATGCTGGCTGGACAGGTCTTTTGCTGTGTTATGAGATGTCTCATCTGTGCTCAACAGTGGACCAGGAGCAGTCACATCACTCACACTCAGTTAAGGTTCACAACCTGCTTCCTTTCTGCATCTCACTAGGGGCTGTGCCTGACTCTGGAAGCACAGGCAGTTCTGCAAAAGTCCTGTCCCCCCCAAAAGAGACATAAAACAGATGGGTTATCTGACACAGCATCATATTCAGAACAGAGGGCATAATTGCATAACTAGGTAGACACCCATAAAATTGACATAAAAGAGTGTTTACACTTTAGAAGGATATTATGGTTCTGTTTCTACTTTCTTTGCATGCCTTTTGTACTAAAAACTAAAACAAAACAGTTAGGAATATGAAAACATTACCACAAATGTAGTGAGTGCATCCACAAGCACTGGAAACACTACTGTCTATTTTTTTAACTTCTCCCTGAGTATAAAAAGATTAAAAGAGTTTGCAGAGTCATGCACAATTAAATGCAATGGTAAACAGACAATTTTTCTCTAAAAATGTAAAATACTACTTTCAGCACTTCCACCCCTGCTTTCATAAAACAGAAAAATTGCAGTGCACTCAAGGAACAGTAGCATGTTCAGAGTTATTAAATGTATTTATCTCTTGACACGGGAGCAAAGCACTTTGTTTTCTCTCAGGATGCATATGAATAGCAGATTTGCTATGCAGCTGCTTTTCCTGAGATACAAAGTTATTTCGATAATAAATGTGTTAGCAAAAGGCTGCCTTCTCTGAATTTCCTTCCAAAACGATAGGTGAAAGCTATTCAAATTTGCAGCCCCTACTTAGAGTTTACGTTATGCAGTCTTCATATAACAGGACGAGAAGGAAAAGCTACAGGCATGTGTTAGGGAAAATACCCCTGTCACTATGGTAATAATGGGAGTTTGAACAGTCACTTATCAGTGTTTTCCAGATCACAGATCCTGTTGTGCTAGAGTATATGAGGAGCAAAATATTTGACTTCTCATATTGGCTAAATTTAATAGTTTTAATCAAAAGCATAGATTATTAACAAAATACACAGTCTCCAGATGATAAATATTATCAAAAAGCTTGCTCCTCATTAATTATTTTTTAAAAAATAGAAATTACTTAAGTGGAAAAACTTCCCAGCATATTGTTTTGAGTCAACATTGAACAGAATAATATTAGAGTTTCTTTTCTTTTGACATCATAAACCACACAAAGCAAAATTTCTACAGAGAATAGTTGACAACACAGTGCAGAAACCTGATGGAGTTACATGCCTGAGCTGGGAGGCAGAGTTCCAGCCCCCCTGTTCAGCCTCATCACTCTTTACAATTAATTGAGTCAAGGAATGGAAGGGAAGGAGTAAGAGAGATGAACACCACTAATAAAAATATCTGAAAGATAGTGCTTACCAATTCACAGGTCAACATAGTACCATTTTCACAGCTGCATTCTGAGAAAAGAATAAGAGAACTTTGTTAGTCATCTAATTGTTAGCTTTTGTTAACAGCAGTGACTAAAGAATAAAGCAATAATTACCACAGTGCCATTCTGGACAACACTGCCCAGGTATTCTTTGCTTCACAAGTGTCATGTCATCTGTGCAATTCATAGAAGGCTCAGAACAAAGATTTTCATCACAAGCTAGATGGGGAAAAAAATACATATGAGAATACACTCAAATTTCCTTTTAATTTTCCAGCTTATATTTCTGATGATCAACTATTTGAACAATAATGACATTTAAAATAAATTCTTACTGTGTTTCTTAAGCGTCTGAATTATATTTGACACTGAGAAGTAAACAAAGATTTTCAAAAGTGCTTTTAGTAGCCTTAGAATATGTTTAAAATTTTCAGAAAACATCAGACAGCAGTAATTTAATATTCTTCCTACCTCAGAGTCAGTCAAGCTGATAACCAGTACCAAAGTAAGCTAAAATTACAGGTTTTGGAAAACAAGTTGTGGGGTTTTTTTTCCCTCTCTGCTATGCATGTGCTGTAAAGCACATTTCTCTAAGATAACAGGGAGCAACTGCCCTCCTGGGATGATTCTAATAAGAAAATACCTGCCTGTCTTATCAGAGGTGGCTTGCTGGGACTCTGAAACAAAGACCAAATACTAAGATCTAACTTCCTACCTGCCAGAATTTGGCAAAAACAATGCCAAACACCTTTGCAGAATCTTTAATTATTTTAAATTTTCCAAAGACTGCAATAGGACAAGCGTTAATCTAATTTAATTCTAATCCAAGTTACACTTGTAGCCATTATTTATGAACATATAGCACAATTCCAGTATTTTATGAAGCTACCAAAGAGATTACATTACACTGCAGACTTTTTTTTCTTCTGGCAGCTCACTGGTTAAATAGTAGTCAACCTGGCAGTATTTGAAGCCCTTGGCCTACTCCTACTTTTAAAAGCTAAATATGCAAAGAAGCTGTTTAAACACTAATGATAGGTACAACAGAGAAAAAACTATATGGAAGCTGTTTTATTACAGGATAATAAAGGATAGGATTGAGTTCCACATTCATATATGGAGATTTAGATCACCCTGAATATGCTGTCTGGTGAACTTCATAACCTCTCCAGACTCCATTGATTGGGTCGGTTAGACCACCACTTCATACATCAAGAACTTTGAGCCTACTTCAAATGCAGGCATTCTCATTTTAGACCTCTTAATCTCTGTTTGAAGCCCACCCCAAATACCGAATCAAAAATATCTACACACACACACACAGTCTGTGACTCATAACAACTGTTTGATAATGTGTTGTACTGACAACAGTTACACTCACCGCAGTAGTAATGAGGACAACAGTAATGTATGGTATTAAGGTCTACAGTCAGAATTTCCCCTTCATTACACAAGGGAACTGGCTCAATACAGGATTCACAAACTAAATAAAAAAAACATTAACAAAACTTTAAATACAGAAAGTGCTAGCACATGTGAATTCTATTTAATGGACTATATAACAAGTCATGTTTTGCTTGTTCCTTTAACCTGTCAGCTAAAAGCTCATAAACAGATCTTTTATTGATTGACATTCAAAGATAAAAACATAACACAGTTCAAATATGATGTTCAAAATGATGTTGTAAAGAAAAGATCCCAAAAGCCAAGTATAGCTCATGCTTCAGTCAGCCTGACCTATGTGAAGTCATACTGACCTCTCCAAAAATTCCTGGATTAATTTATTAGGTTTAGAACTATTGGCTGTTTTTGTAAACACTTAACTATTCTTAAGTTATTCTTTAAAATATCAGAGGCTGCTTACCACAGAGATAAGAAAAACAACAGGGATCTTCCTGTTTTGCTTCAACAATAAATTGATCTTCCCTGCAGTCCAGCTGGGAAACATTGAAACAAGTGGAAGGATCACATTCTGTGGGATATGAAATAATCAGTATTTTAAAGTAAGTCACGGAAACAGTACAAAAAAGATAAACAAGCTATATTCTTCATCTACTTGGGAAAACAAAGTACCCCAAATTGACTGTAAACCAGAAGTGCAACAAAATAAAACCACAAATAACATTGGAGAATGTGAAAAAAACAAAACAAAACAAAACAAAATAAGAACATCATTGTCTGGTGCTACTTAAAATGTCCTATTCTGTTAACGATCAAAACAACTTGCAAGGCAATTTTTCTTGCACATAATACAAGTGTGGAAAATGTCCCAGTAGCTGTTTCTTTGTATTTCTCTTACCACATCGGTACTGTGGGCAGCAGGACAGGGGGTTGTAGCCTACTACTAATTTCTCATTGGGTTTGCATGTTGGGATAATGGCATCACACAATGACATGTTACATTCTGTGGGATAAAAAACAAGCCATTTTGACACACTTGAACAGAAACAAATGCAATAGCTCAAGATACCATCTAATATAGAGATCCACAAACTAAGAGCAGCCCCAGTCAGCTTTAAGTGCACTCCATACCATCATGTACACCTCCAAGCACAATCTAGGGCTGTGGTACCATCCATGTGGTACTGTGCAAGCACAATTATATCCCAGTTAAAGCAGTTACTTGCTCTGCTTCCTGCACACGAAGCCAGCTAAAATGTCTCCTTGAAAATACTCCCTAAACAAATTGACAATATATTGTTGGTTGCAGGTGTCTAACTAATGAGCAAAAGCACCAGAGCAGCTGGATCATTTGTTCTGGCTTAAAGATTTTGAATCCTTGAAGACTTTATGAAGAAATAAGCATCTTTTGCTTAACATTTTTAGGAGCTTATTCCGTTTTCTAACAACCATGGCTATACAGAATATTAGTTTTCAGTGATCAGCTCCTAGAATACTGCTTCTGGGAACAGCAGTTGGTCAGAGGATACTGCTCTTGACACCAAAGCACTAATAAGAAAAGTGAAGGCTCTGCTCACTGTTCTAGTTACCAAGGTTTTTCTGTCATTGACTATTTATAAATTTCTTCTGAAATTTCACCCAGAAGCTTAAAAATTCATTTTTAACAGAAGTTTGGTTTCCCTAGTGGACTTCTGAGGAAAAAAAAATAAATAATTCAATGAATCAGATAAACTCATTCACACACACTTAGAAAGAAAAGAAGCCTGCTTTGCTGGCCCAACCGGCCACAAGTACCTAAAAATTACATCTGAAAAATATTACCTTGAACCCTGCCTAAAGATTGTCATCTACCAGTGAATATCAAGCACTTAACTTTTATGTCTGTTACTGAAAACAAGTGTGGTACATACCACAAACTTTCTTTGGACAGCAAGCTCTCTCTTCGATGACATGGACAATAACTTCCCCTTCTCTTTCACAGACTGGTGGTGGATGCTCATTGCATTCAGGTTCTACAGCAACAATGCTTCCATTTTCTGAACAGTTGTACATGCAACAGCCTCTCATGGACTCATTCCAGATCTCCCCAGCAGAGCGGGGCTGTCCTTTGTTATCTGTGCATGCTGAGAAAAAAACACCACATTGTATCACTTCAACAAGTAGAGAGGAAAGATATCCTGCAAGCAACTATGAATTATATAAAATTATTGCATAAAACAAGAGTGCTGTGGAGCATTACAGTCAAGGAATCCAATAAAAGATTATGACCTTAAAATTGACAAATGAACAAATGCTTTGCTACAGGTGAAAATAAATATTGAGAGCAAGGGAAAGAACTTGGAGGAAAGAAAGCCTAGGAGCTACGGAAGAGTGACTACCATTTTTTGGGGGAGTGACTTTTTACCAGAGTGTGTAGTGATAGGACAAGGGTAATGGTTTTAAACTGAAAGAGGGTAGATTTAGGTGAGGCATTAGGAAGAAATTTTTTACTGTTAGAGTGTTGAGACATTGCAAGAAGTTGTCCAGGGAGGTTGTGGATGCCCCCTCCCTTGAGGTGTTCAAGGCCAGGTTGGACAGGGCTTTGTGCAACCTGGTCTAGTGGAAGGTGTCCCTGCTCTTGTGGGGAGGTTGGAACTAGATGATCTTCTAGCTCCCTTCGAACCCAAACCATTCTATGGTTCTATGATTTCCCAAAAAAAAAGTACATTAGCACTGGGACTTCAGTGCAGATGAGCTGAAAGCACAGACTGCTGTAGCTTGAGATGAAGCTAGGCTCTGTTGAAGAGAGCAGGACCAGATTCATGCTTACTGAGACTAACACAGATCTTAAATATTGCTTACACTGAGCTGCAGTTAATATTAGAATATCTGAAAAACTATTCTGCCCTGCTGCACTTACTACATTTTTCTTCTGGTATGCAGAGGTCAGAGTCCGTTCTATGCAGAATAGTGCCATTTTTACATACACAGTCTTCTCTTAAATAGGAACAGGGAGAATCTTCATAGAACCATTTATTCAAGCACGTCTTGGCTTCACAGGGTTGCACACAAGGCTGGTATTCCTTGCCCTCAGGACAAGACAATGCTGCAAGTCATAGAAATAGGACATCGAAGGCTGCTGCTATTCTTTCAGTGTTTCATTGGATAAACAGGTAGTAAGAGCAAATGACTGTATCATAGAAAACATGCATTTATATTTTTAACAGTTGTTTAAGTAAGCAACTCATTCAATCAAGATTAAAACTGATTCATTACACTTTGACTAAAACAAAACATCTTAAGAAATTGTACCCTGATTTACTAATGTTGCAATAGAATGAGATGGTACTTACAATAACAAAAGAAATACATTTTTAACTCATCACTAAACAGTACAGCAATTTGGGGTACAAAACATGGTTATCTGCTTACAACAGTAATCAGGAGTCCTCCATTTAATGCAAATGTTGTGCTTGTTACATAAAGCCACATATGCAGAAAGGGCATCACACTCATAATTCCAAAAATAAGTACTGTTGACCCACATCTTCTCACAAAACTCCTGTGGTGACACCTAGGAACACATTGTAATTGAGAATTAACAAGACGAAGAACCTTCTGTAATTAAAATAAATAATTATTTACAATAAATAACATAGGTGCAAGGGAAAAAAATCACAAGCAGTCTAAAGTAGAAAATACCATCTTTTTCAGAACACTAATTCTGCAAAACCTAAACTGCCAGAATTTTTATGCTCATTAGTAGGCACAGTCCTCATGAGACTGTCATACTACTTACAAGAACTTTTGCAGCATAGCCCTGTCAGCTAAAATTCTACCATCTCAGCTAAGCATTGCTACTGTACCTTCCATAGTTCCTGCTGTGAATTAATTACTACTGAGTGCTCTGTTCTGTGTCTATAGGACCCAAGAGCCTGTGTTACTGGGTCAAAATGCAGGTGGTGAAAACTATATTATTCCTGTTGGTTTTATTCGCAGAAGTTTATAACAAGGTAGAAGAAGTCAGATTTGTTTCATTCTGCCTGTTCACTACTGTGCTGCATCCCAGCTCGCCCTGTGGTTTCAGCAGATCTCCAAGCAATCACTCACTTCTGTTCATTACACTGATGGCTCTGATAACCAGCCTTGTCCAGTTGATTCATACCTGTGAAGGGCACAATACACTCCATACCCTCTGCCTCTGCCAGCCTCATGGATGTGAAAGGAAACAAATTTCATAATGGATTAACGAAGTGCTTGGCAATTTTGGTGCTATGTCAGGTTTTGCTATAAACAGGAAAAGATGCAACTGCATTTTACCAGAGACGATGAGAGTTCTCCTCACACAGATGAAGTAAGAATTCTGACTATTCAGATTCCCTTTTATTATTTTTAAATGAGGTATGTTAAAATAATTATGAAAAACATCCTGCTGCCCACTGGTGCTACTCTCCCTTCTTGATTCCGTACTGGTTACCACTGCTACCTCCCATTAAGTTTCTGTGGCAAATAGATATTAATATTTTTCAAAAATAACAATCTCTTTAACCCCTTCCTTTCAAAAGAACTGCCTCCATATTTTTTCTACCTGGGGAAAGTGAGAAGAGGTCTTGGGAGTTTGAAGGAATGGGCTCAGCTGCCTGCAATACCTTTAAAAATATTGGTCTATGATGAAAACAGAAGAGCAACACAACACAAACCAAGGGTGGAAAGGCAGAACAGCAAGAAATTGATCAGAAATCTGGATGTGTCTATCTCTGGGAAAGAAAGGGTCACTTGAGTAATTAATCCTTTTTATTTTTAATTAAATGGGAAAAGTAAGTCAGACCTCAGAGATCTGGGGCTTCCGCATCTTGTGTTCTGGGAAGCAACTGTGCTGCACTACCTACCTCTAGTGGTAGTCTGCATGCTACAGCTGTGCATCCCTATCAGAAATATAGTGTGCAGAAATAAATGATAAGGATTTCTGTAATAAATGCTACCAAATTGTCAACATGACATAATGACTATGGCAGAATTTGTTTAACTAGCTATTTCTTTAGTCAAATTCATCTCAAACTGCATTTATTAAATGTAAGGCTTTTTGGAATGCATTTCTTTTGATATGATTATCTGGTGTCTCTCCCTTGAGCTTTGCCTACTAAATAATTTAAGAAACAGAATAATAGCACAACAATCTATACAGATGTGTGTTTACAATGGGCAACATGACAAAAGTATCAAAACCCACATGACAGAGGTATTAAAGCCACCCATACAGTTGTCAACTGATGAAAATAAGCAAACCATTAAAAATGTGCATATATATCTCACTCTTTTCTTAACTATACATCTTTTATTTAATTTGCACCTGGAATTTCTCTGATCTTTGTACTCACTTTATTGTGACAAGTGATGAAAATGCTTTTGTTTAGCAATTCCATACAGTACGTGCAGTTATCTTCAGTACAGTTTCTTACTGGCCTCCTGGTTGCTACATCGAGTGATTTCTCAATTTCCCAGCTCTTAATGAATGCTTCGATTTCCTCCATATTTGTAATTATGCTCCTGTTTTGCATTTTCAGGTCATCAGAAGGGTCTCCATTACACACCCCTGGAGAGAGAGCACCACATTCAAAGAACAAATAAAGATACCCTATTACTTCCTTCAAGAAAGAAAAGTGCACTTGATAAGGTAAGATTAACATTGCATCAGGGTCACCTGTGAGACTTAGTCGTCTGAATTTATACATGAAATTAGCTACAGGCCCACTGTAGTTTCAACTTTCTGCTTGAGCTGTAAGATATACAGATACAGAAGATATATAATAGCTTAACAAAACAAGCAGATGATACGGTAGAAGTAATGATACTTTTCCCAACAGTGAATTAACTTTTGAGAAAAGCTGCTACCAAAAATGTGCAGCTGAGTATAGCAAACTCACTGACATGGCACTGGATCTCATTCTACTGAACAGCAATCAGCTCCATGGCAGCCAACGTAGATGGCTTTCCAATTAACTGCCTATCGGTGATGATTTGATGCTGTATTGAAACCAAATTGAACATTCTAAATGCAAGAAGTTATGGAAGGAAACTTTTGCCTTCTCTAGAGAAAATATTTTTCTTTACAAAACCACTGAAAAAACACCTCACCCAAACACCTGACATCCACTGGCTACCTGAATTTATTGTCGCACGTGTTCAGTTATTCATCAAACAAAACATACACTTCCTGTAAGCACATAACAAGTCATAAATGCAAAAATTTTAATCATTATAATAGTGCTTTTTTTGCATCCCAAGGACTGGTCAGCCAGAATTCCTATATCCTTTTTTTCATTTTCCTTCTGCATTGCTAACCACATCCTAAACCCTTGCCTTCATGCTTCCAGCCCTGCACCCCAAAACTCTCTAGGGTCCCTTGTGAGAACTGGGCTAGCCTGGTGTGACAGGCTGCTATTCTCTCAGAGAATATGGAGAAACACAGATGTTTTGCCTGCTGCATGATAAGAAGCATTTGACAGCAGCACAGCTTTCCAGTATTCTTAGTGCTTCTGATTCTTGCTGCTGTCCTAGTGCCATGCCAGAAACTGCTGCATTAGAATTTGTAGAGCCATACTACAGAATTGCAGTACCAATAAAGCTTTAAAAATAAAGAAAATTTACCACACAGTTCCACAATTTTTCAGTATGAGAGGGAGAGGATAGGAGAATCTCAGACAGGAAAAAATGGCAGAGGATAGGAAGGAGGCATTAATGAAGGCTTTAGACTTTACTGCAAAATATCAGGTAGAGGAATGCTTTACAGCAGAGCTTGGATTTGTCTTCCTGGTTGTCTTCTTTCTGTCCTTTCATGGCAGAAAGAATAAATATTCTACACTGACCTCATGTCATCCCGGTCTTTTTCAGTCTGCGTAGATAAAATGGCATGATACTTGGAAAAGATGCAGTACATGCCAGTGTCAGTATTTGCCTTCTCACACTGGATTTAGAATTCTCCTTTCGTTCAAGCAGAATATAGCAATTTATTTAAAACAGTTACTTTGCTTATGTGCATGTTTAAACCATACTTGAATTGTATTGTTTGCTTTTAAAACTAAAAGCAGTTTGAAAGATTTGAAGATTGAAGAAGATTGAAGATTGAAGATTGAAGGTTGAAGATTTGAAAGTAAAATTCCAATGCCCCAGAATTAAAACAGAATTAAAGTAATACTAACATACCTGCTTAAACTTTATTGTACTAATAATTATTTTTCTGTAAACAAAAACATTATTAGCAAGCACTGTTTATAAAATAATTATTGATTTTTTATTATTAATTAATATAATTTTATAATTCCATCCAAATAGGATTATTGGTGTAGTTAATGAGGGTCACGAGGAGAGCTATAGGGACAGCAGGTCACAGATTCAAAAGAGAAATGTACATTTTCCATGGGAAATCATTAAATAAGGAAAAAAAAGGTGCCACCATATCCTCACCACAAAGTCCTTCTGTCTTCATGGATGTGTTAGAGTGTAATCCATACTGTATGTCTATGATGCCTGTAACATGAGCCCACTTGATGCTAATACCAGCCGGGGTATTGATGACATACATTGCACCAGTATCCTGTATACTCAGCCCTTCTTTTGAAAATGGTAATGATTGAGTTAGAGAATCCACTACTACCTAAAAAAACCCAAATACATATTAGAGATAAAACAGATTATGAAGATGCATCTTATATGTCTTCACATTTTATAGCAAAAGATAGTATTTACAGTCTCTGCCACGTACAGTAGCAGTCACAGTGCTTAAATCACAAAGCTTCCTGTCAGTGCCACTTCCTGTAACTGCAAATGAAGTAGGCCTGAGATAAAATAATGATACTAACATCTTTTCTAATTAAGGAAGAAACAAATCTTATTTCTCATATATCGTACAATAAAGCACAACAAAACAAAAACTCATCCCGCTTACTCAAAATTGTCTGTTCTGACCTGTTACCGACTAGCAGTAAAGGCAGTTTAAGTGTTTATCACATCTTGGAACATTTCTGTTCAGTTCTAGTTTTTCTGGAAATAAAGTCTCAAATATAAATGCTTTTGCAGCTTCTTTAAAATCTCAAAAGAACTTTGAAATGTCATTTTGGATAAATGACATATAAGTTAAGCATCGTAACAGAAATGTGTATTTTTTGCTTCTAGCACATCATCAATTACTGGGAACCTGAACTGAAAAAGTAATCCTAATCCACTTGCACATTCATTATAAATCTGATCTATTCCATTCTACAACAGAATAGCTCTCCATCTATCTTTTAGCTGTACACATAATAGACTGGTGATATATACTTACTTTTCTTGCTAAACGATTTATAAGTAACTTATGCTTATGTGTTGTTACATTTAATTTCTTAAAACAGAGTCCTGAAGTGCTTGCAGGGGGAACCTAGAAAGAAAAGTGACAAATGAGTTTAGTTACTATTGTTTTTCTAATTCTGTACTAGTGATATAGGGAGTTTTCCCAATATGTGTAATATGATTGTATTTTATAATAAGTAAAAGAATAAGTACTCACAGGTTTTCTTATTGAATTAGCACTCTGGAAAACATTAAAAATATAAGTGCAATTATAATCAGCAGCATTTTTATTTGGCAAAAAGCAGTTGACTGTTTTCTTTTCGTTTGAAGTTCTTGTACAAGCACCTTAATAATTAAACTAATTTAATGTGTTCCTTATAAATAATAAAAATACACATTTCCCAACTAACATAGTGCACCTTTCTATGAACTGTTTTTATAAACTTTGTTTACTTGTTAATCATTTAAATCAAAAGGGTTTATGTGGAAAATAATACAAAAAAAAGATAACAAAATGACCTGAACAAGTTGAGTTCAAAATACACAGACATGCTATGATCATGCCAATAAAATCCCCTGCCCTAACCTGGATGAAACTGCTGGTTTACTAAGGCATCTTTCTGCACAAGATTGCAGCTGGCTTTTAACTAAACAGCTTTAACATTAAGAGCAACTCATTACCAGCATCACAAGAGTCAACATATGCTGCAAAGCCCTTTCAAAAAATATTTCTTAAAAAACTATAGGCACAGACTTCTGAAAATTATCTGCCTATATGAGCTGTGTTCACACCTTTAGACTGCAACCAAGAAACAGAGAAGAGAGCAGTTGAAAAGGAAACCTCTAAAGCTGTGTAGGACTCAGGACTTAAAAATCAAGCGTACAGTTACTCAGTGGCAGTAGAAAAGAGACCAAAAATAATGGGAAGGAAAGAAGCCTGATGAAGTTCCTCATCAGGAACTTGTTTATCTGCAAACTGAAGATGAAAATACAAGCTTGTTGTTTAAGTGCTGCATAAATCAGGATTATGGGCAATGCAAAGTAAATCTATGTATGAGACTGACCTGATCTAAACTGGCAGTCTAAAAATGAAGTGGCTGGATCCCCTCTGTAGGCAACTACAAAGATCAACTCACCACACTTATCGCAAACTCATTAATACCTCCTTAAAATATCTACAAAAGATTTTTGTGACTATTCAATATGTTTTAGTATTTTGACTACACTGCAAAGTGTAAATTCAAGGCCTCAAGGTTTGTGGGTGGAGAGCGTAAAAGGAGACATGCAGATTCAGTTGTCATCCGCGATAGTTTAGAAGTTACCTACATTTGAATTCCTTATAATACAATATAACAATTACTATTTAACCTGAGATAAAATATAGACAGCATGATTAGGTATGCTCTTTTAAAATAACCTGTGATTTTTCAATGGATATGACTTTCGTCTGAAAGTTTTTTGTAATATTTTTTTCAGAATTTCATACCTAAAACAATAATTCAAGAAACTAGTAAAATTACTGCAGAAATGCAAGACTCTTACCTGGTTAGCAGGACATTTTTCAATATGACCAACAATAATTTCTCCTGGTAACTTAACTAGAATGTAGGAAGCCATGTTACAGAGGGCTATGTTGTTTCCATCAAAAGTAATAACACTCAGTTCAGACAGTACAGAACATTGACCTAAAAAAGAACTGTCATTTAATGGAGTTACCACAAAACCAAATACAAGGTATTCTATTGACTTTCAGTTGTGGCAATATTTGCTTTCATATATGCATTTATAGAGAGAGAGAGAGATAAGCTTGTTCTGTGGAGAGCATACGGAGCCACAAGCAAAACCAAGTCTCTTACATTACTCAGTGGAAATACCTTAACCTATTGCTCTGTGTCCATAGTAGGGAAGAAAGTTTAAATTGCTGAAAATTCTAATTCAAGTCAATATTTTACAGGCAAAGTCAATGAATATGTACACTGGGAGATAAAATATATGTATTTTCAAGATACTGATAACAAGAGTAGTCTGTCCTTTCATGAGACAAATATTTAAGAGAGCAATACGGAATTCGGCAGTTCTGCGAAGTTTTTAACATGACTTCTCTTTGACCTTTTTGTTCCTTTGACACACAGTCATCTGTCAGTTTCTGCAGTAGTAAAAACTGTAATAAAAACTACAGTTAGAGCTAACTGAAATTTAGGAGTTCTGTCTTTCAGAAAATCCCAGTATTTAATTTGTTTTCTTCACAAAATACTGAAATCTCAACATTTCTACTGATAGAATGTTTCTCAGTTGAGAAACATTGTTGTTCATGTTGTAGATTTCATTTCATTGTTTTAATTCAAAACAAAATGGGTTTACTCTCTTAAATGTTAATTCAAAGATACCAACACATTCAGTGTATTTAATTGATGTTGCTGATGAACAGACCTTTTATACTCATTCCAGTATTCAGCCACATATTCCCACTATAATAAACCTTTAATTTATTTCTTGAAATTTACAGATCAAAGCTCTATGTTGTATTTAAAAATAAAACACTTACAGGGACATTCCCATTCTGGGCAACAACTATCAGTATTAACTTGAACTGGCATTCCTCGAAAACCACAGTCTGGCTTCTGCACATCCTTAGGGCAGTTCTTTGAAACATTGTACAACATCCAACTCGCATGAACACATACATACTGGCTACATTTGTCGACAGGTTCAAGATATCTTGGCTGTCACAAGGGAAAAAAACAACCAAAATCAATGTTACATTCATTGCCTTTTTGAAGTCCAAGCACTTGTTCACTGCCTTGCTCTGAGACAGGATCAGAGCAGCTACGTGACCCCTCATCAGTTATTTTTTAATTAACTGCTTTTGTGTGGTTAGAAGAGCTGACAGTGATGTACGTCCATTCACCCACACCCTTCCTGTCCCATCTAGCTTTGGTGGAATACTCTGTGTAAAGCATTATGCATTGAAGCTTTAAATTATATTCAGTAATAATCTGAAACATCTTTAAAAATATAGGATCATGCATTCCTATAATTTTTAAATTAGTGACAAAGAAACAAATAGAAAAAAAACCAAAACACACAGGGTCAGACTATGCAGAAACACACACAATAAAATCCATGTATTAGGGTTTTTTCTTCACTTCAGAAATACATTTTGCTATCTAGAATCAGCAAATAGCTTTAAAAGCCATTTTTTTCTAGAGCAACATATCCAAGTTGCAGAAAATACCAGAGTAGTATAAGAGCACTGATATGACAAGCCTCTAAGAATCACTGAGTATTTTAAGATATACTAATAAAAATAAAAATAGAACAAATTTTTAAAAGCTAGTATTACATTCATAGCATTACAGAATGGACTGAAAAGCAATATATAGACATAGGAGCATATAAGACATAGAGGCAAGTTAAACTGATCATACCACACATTTGGAAGATGTAGACATCAGTGTATGCATCATTGTACCAAAGGATGCCTTGTCAGCTGTAGCTGTCATTGTTTCTGCCCTTGTAGGTGAAGTTTGTGTTTCCACAGGTTGTGAAGAGGAAGGCAGAGCCATTCCACCACTAGAATGAGATAAATCTATTATATTTCTGGTCTGCAGCTCTGTGGGCTCTGTTAAACCAAATAAAGGCTTAACAGGTTTCTGTACTGGGATTTTGGACCAATCTGATGTTGTTACATCCAGGACTCCAGAAGAAGAGAGATTTTTTTTTGAGGTTGTATGTCTTGAAAAGGATGAACTCAGAACTGAAGATACTGTCAGATAAGGAAAGGAAGATTTCTCAGTTGTGGTTGACTTTATCTTGGTAACATTTGGCTCATGTGAAGTCTGACCACTTTCTAAAATATCCACAGCTCTTTCAAATGGGGTTGTGTATTTAACTTTTGAAGCTGTAAATGAGATACTCTTTGTCTGTGATAATGGACTTATAGTGCTAGCTGTTTTTATTATCAAAACTTTAGGAGTTTCTGTAGTGCTCTGTGAGGCTTGAGTCATGGTAGATGCAAATGAAGATTTTTGTGACACATGTGTGGGTGTTTCTATGGTGGTAGGAACTGAAGTTGACACCATATAAAAGTCCAAATTGGCAACAAGAGAATCAGTAATTTTTGCAGGAATCCTAGAGGCTACAGTAGTGCCAGAAGCAACTAATAAGCTGGCTGAAGAGCTAGGTGGTATTTTTGCAAAAACGTAAGGTGCTTTTAAGGATGTAGCATTCGCTGTTGTGCTCATGATCATTGGTGTAGTGGAGTGAGTGATGGTTCCAGATGACATGGCTGATACAGTTCCATCTTCTTCTGAAGAACTTACCGAAGAACTCTCTTTTCCTAAAGAAACAGTAGATACAAGTGGTCTTAAGAGGAGGTGAAGACATAGACATCCTACTGGACTGGCTTTCTAAAGTGTCTTCAGGAGTAGTAGGCATTAGTAAAGAGGGCATTACAATGGATGTTTCCTGAGCTGGTGAAAGGCTAGTAGAAGGGCTTATTCTTAAAGTGAATGTAGAAAAATCTAAAAAAGTTACAAAGTCTATAGCTAAACTTTTTGAGGTTCCTTGTGTATCTAGAGATGAAACTGATGTTTGGGCAGGAGTTATATTGTCTGTTAATTATTATATCCTACTGACTATGGGAATCAATGAAGAACTTGTAGTATGGGATGTCACATAACGTGAAGTTGATAACAAGATTGCAAATAAAGATGATGACCTTGTAAGAGAAGGATCTTTAGGAATTAAAGTGCCTAAGCTTTGTGTGACAAGGTCAGTTTTCAATTCTGTATGTGAACTGCTTGGGTATTCTTTAATTTCTGAAGTAGGTATTAATGTAGCATTTAGAGGTAACAACAATGTCCTAAGAGGGAAGCCTGTAGATGTAATGGATTTCATTGGCTTTTTAGAAATGGATGACACTGAAAGGGAATCAGTGTGCATTATGCATTTATTTTTTGTTGAGGATTTACTTGCTATAGACATATCAGAGATTGTTGGATTTACTAGAAGAGTGGAAGCAGCATAAGATACTTTATGAAGACTTTTGGAGGCAACAGTGACATCTGCCATAATTTTGGGCTTCAGAGAGGTAATCAGAGAATCCGCTGGTATAGACACCATATGTGTTACAGAAGGTCTCAAAGAAGTGTTTATGGGGATTTGTGCCCTTATGGGCACAGCAGAGGAAATACTGCCTTTTATTAATGGAGATGTCTGCTTAGGAATAGTCAGTGAAATTTCCACTGCAGATAAAAATGGCTTTGGAGAAAAGCTAGCTAAAGAACTTGCATTTAATGATACCAGACAAGTTTTAGACAAGGGTTTTGCTGTTTCAAAATATGAAACTGTCATGCATTGAGGAAAACTCTTCTCAAAGCTAGAAGAACTAGTAGTAGGAAGTTGAGGAGCAGTTGAAGTCAGTGGGGAAATAGCTGTTGGGTGAACAGCAGTTTGACCAATGCCAGACCTAGTTGTAACAGACAAAGTAGATACAGAAGCAGATGTGCTTAGTGTCAACCATGAACCTAGAGAAATACTGGTCTTGTGAAAGTTGCTCTGCCAGCCAGCAAAGCAAAGACACTTAAGAGGATACTGCTGCTCCCTTAGAATGACTTACTGAAGGACTCCTACTCTTCCCAATCCCTTCAGGCAGCTCAGAAGTGACAAAAGATAGCTTGGAGGTTAAAGTTGTTAGTACAGAGGTAGGGGGAACAGTTCCTAGTTGAGTGGTTGATGTTTCAAGTGGAAATGGAACTACCACTAAGGAAGTGGATGTTAATAATGCAGAACATGTTGGAATAGGACTTGCACTGAGCAGGGTTGTTGGAGTTGGTATTTTGATGGGTAAAGTTATAGATGCAGTAGAACCAACAGTATGTGATGTGACTGCTGAGGCTTGAAGAGCAGTTGGAAAATCTGTTGAAGAGATGAGTTTGGAAAGGACAGTAGGGCTGGCTGTGCTGTCAAGTACATTAGAAGCCTCCACTGTACTTGGTAATGAAAATGTTGAATAGGTGGCTGCATCAGATGTTTCCAGAGAATAAAAGTCTGTAATGGACTGTGCTGACATGTCCATTCCCCTCAAAGTTGTGTTTGCCTTCATAGTTATTTTGGCTGTCACACTGGTACGAGTCGACTCAGTCCCTGAAGTAACAAATAAAGGAGGTGTCTGAGGAAATGTCTCTGTGGTAGCACCTGTCTGAGAGATTAACAATGAAGGTTTTGTTCCAATTGCTGATTCAGTAGGTGTCACAGGTATGCCTAAAAGGAAAAGTGCATGTTTCACTATCATTTATGGATTATTAGTAAAGCAAAATAGCAACATCTATCTCTATTCAAGTCCCATTTAAACATTAGCACATCAGAGCACCATTTTGCTGAGACGATAACTTGCCAGTGGTTCCAGGCCATCTGATGACTTCAGGGAACTCAGCTGACTCAAGAAGTTTTCTAATCTTTGCAAAGAAACTTGCTAATTTATTATTATTTGTGAAAACCTTGGTTTTGCAGAGCAGTTTTGAAGAAAAAAAAAAAAAAAAAAAAAAAAAAGGAATTCCATGGAAAATTCAGCCAATCCAAGAGAGTAAAATAAAAAATATTTGGAATAAATACAGCTTTGGGAGGTATGAGATATTACATAAGACATCTTTGTATTAGCAAATATAGAGCATAATGTATTTAATTTAAAACCTTTTAAATAAAATAAAAGACTGTTAAAAGGAAATTGCTATGTTAAAAGAATACTATATCCCTAAAATAAGCAAAGAATGTGGTATCTTCACACACTAGAAGTTATTAAATAGATGCACTGAATTCTTAAGTGGTGGTTCATCAACTGAAAAGTCAACTTTTCACTACAGGACTATGTCTTCCACTTGGGATCTTTCTCTTATATACATATAACACACTAGCATTAAGAAGTCAAATATAGTTGTGATGAGTATCACACCATCACAAAAGATTAAGTTTAATACACTATTAGAGAAATTAAATAATTCAACTTTTGAAATGGCTTTTTTGAATGTAGGAGATAAATTTTGGATGACTAAGAATAGAGTCTTTGTCCCAGAGAAATATTCTTCAACAGAGAGATGTTCTGGTAAAATGTTTAATAAGAAAAAACAGCAAGGTACATTTTATTAAAACATTTCATGTGACTTCTAGAGTGGTTTATAAGACTAGACCAATATAATAAAATATACTTACAGTCTTCTGGATAAACACATTTAAGTGTGACCTCATCAAGGATCATGTTTTTGGGACAGTATGGCAAGCATCCTTCAACCCTTGAAAATATTGTATAGTTAGTTCTGAAGCCTCAGTAGAAATATAAATTAATTTTAAATTATTTTACTTTGGTAAAATTAAACATTTGAATGTCTTCCCCATCAGAGTTCTGAGAACTTCCCAGTGTAATAGCTTCCAGGTTTGAGCCAGGATTAAGACAATTTTCTTTTTACTGATTATTTTTCTTCAGTGAACTCACTTTTAAGAGGCATACTAGCTGAAAGTAGCACAGCAAGTTTTCCAGCTAGCAGACTGGTAACACTCAAATGTTTATAGTTACTACTGAGAAACCAAGGAAACTTTGCTCTGCTTGTTGAATATACTGCTTTAACACAAAGAGAGCAGAAGAGTCTTATCTACAACCCTCCCATAAGGAGGAGGGGACTGGACAGATGGCAAAATTGACCAAAGAAATATTCCATCCAGATATACACGTGGCACTCAGTGGAAATTTAGGGATGACAGAAGTCAAGCTCTTCTTCCCTTCTCTTCCATTCATGGCCAGTGTGCAGAGAGGACTCTGTCCCTCCATCTCCTTTGATCCCTAGGCTCGTGTATCCCTGACCCTCACAACTCTCCCCTCAGCTCCTGGCTGCTCTGCCACTTTCTCCGACAGCTCCGGGACATTTCAGAACTGCTCACAGCTCAGGAGATGCCAGGGGAGTTGCTGGGGGTAGGGGGAGGCAAAAGGCTTTTGCACATTCCTAAACATACTTGTACGTATTTTCCTTTATCATCAGTATTTAATTAAAGCTGTCTAGTTAAGTTTTCAATCCAGAAGCCTCTCTCCTTATTCTCTCACTCCTGGGTGGGATGGGGAGGGAATCGAGAGCAAGGTTGTCACTGGTTTAATTGCTGATCCTGAGTCAAAACATGACAATGGTGAACACAGCATTTTTAGGTCAAAAAGACACTGAACATCACAATTCTGTTTCTAAATTGTTAATAATCCCTTCTTTGCATAGGTTAATGGACATAATATCTTTGGACCATTCTGCTTCCACAAAGAGGTGGAAGTTCAAATCTCTAAGCAGAAAGGTTTTCCATAGGACAAAGACATTCTCTACAAGACTGCTGTTTTACCCAGATGTTTGTTTGAGACATTAAAATATTTAGACTGACTCCACAGAAAGTCTCATTCTTGTGCACTGTTATCATAAGAGACTGAAGGCAAGTCCACATATTCCTTCACTTTTTCATTTGGAGGGGATTTTTTATAAGAAAAATCATTACATTAACAATCAGTGAGCCCATATGGAAAAAGTTAAAAATACCAAGATAAAAAAAAATAATAATATTAGTAGTATGTCTAACAATAAACTGCATATGCCTAGTGAGGTAGTCTGAAATTCACAATGTGATTTTCCACCAGATTTTTGCATTGAGTTTTTAGGCATTTTTCATTTCATTTTGTTGTGATTCCATAGATGCCATGAGAGTTCCATGGAGAAAGGAAATCTTTTTATCATGAAATCAGAGAATCTGTCAGGTTGGAAAGGACTTTTATTGGTCATCTAGTCCAGCCCCCTCCCACAGAGACCTTTTTAACTAGATCAAGTTTTTCAGAGCCTGGTCAGGCCTGACCTTGAATGTTTCCAGAGATGGTGTCTCCACCACACCTCTGAGCAACCTGTTCCAGTGCTTCACCGTCCTCATTGTAAAGAACTTCTTTCTAATGTCTAATCTCAATCTAACCTATCCTAGTTTGAGACCATTGCCCCTTGTCCTCTCACTACATGCCCTTGTAAACAGTCCCTCCCCAGCTTTCCTGCAGTCCCCTTCAGGTACTGGAAGGCCACTATAAGGTCTCCCTGAAGCTTTCTCCTCTTCAGGTTGAACAATCCCAGCTCTTTCCTGCCTGTCTTCATAGGAGAGGTGCTCCAGCCCTCTGATCATTTTTGTGCACCTTCTTAGGGCTCTGAATGAGCAGGTCCATGTCCCTCTTATGTTAAGGACTCCAGAGCTGGACACAGCACTCCAGGTGGGGTCTTACGAGAGCAGAGTAGAGGGACAGAATCACTTCCCTTGACCTGCTGGCCACACTTCTTTTGATGCAGCCCAGGATGCAACCGGCCCTCTGGGATGTCAGTGCACATTGTCTGCCCATGTCCAACTTTTCGTACACTAGTACCCACAAGTCCCTTTCTGCAGGGCTGCTCTTTATCACATCATCCCTCAGCCTGTACTGATAACGAGGATTCGTCCTACCCAGGTGCAGGACCTTGCACTTACTTAGAAACAAGATAGTATCAGCCGTGTGAAATTGCTTACATCGTTCCAATGAGCATCTCTCAGCATAAAGTTCCCTCCTCTTACAGGAGAGGGCGTAATCCACCTTTACTATTCCTATAGTTTTTCATCTGCGTCATATAAAAGCCAGAAAAATGTAGTCATCTACAGCATCACAGGATGCTGGTATAGGATTTGAATATAAAACCACAATGGGGAATAGCTTTCATTTAATTTAATAGATTTCTACTTTAACCACTCACAGAAGCTAATCTCCTGGGCTAAATAATAACAGAATCCCCTGGGCTAAATACAACCTCTCTTATTATGTTGAAAGGTTGCATGTAAACATGAATATATACCGTGGGAAACAAATGTTTTCACATGCCTCGTGAGAGCTGCTCATAAAAGCGATACTAAAATCTGGAGGAGTAAAAATGAATGTATATTGCAGCTGCAATAATTTTCAGCAAGCATATGGGATACATATCACAAAAAACCATGAACAAACAAAAAGCAAAAAAAATAGAGTAACAACAAGAGCTTAGTTTTACTTACGGAGGAAGGAATTTACAGGCTGTTCCTTCAGGATCACTACATGTTTTAACACAAGGATTAGCACAAGATTCATATCGCCATTCACACATCTTTCTATAAGGTACAGATGCACTGAGTTCTGAGAAAGAAGGAAAAGGTGTTATTTATTGATTGTGTAGTCCATGAAATATACATTTATAGTCTTTTCTATAATGTACATTAGGATTTTCATAGAATAACAGAATTGTTTATGTTGGAAAAGACCTTTAAGATAATCAAGTCAAACCATTAACCTAACTTCACCAAGTCCACTTCTAAACCATGTGCCTAAGTAGCACATCTACATGACTTATAAACGGATCTAGGGATGATGACTCCACCCCCTCCCCTGGGCAGCCTGTTCCAGTGCTTGACAACCCTTTCTGTGAAGCAAGTTTTACTAATATCCAGCCTAAACCTCCCCTGGTAAACCTTGAGACCATTTTCTTTTGTCTTTTCACTTGTTACATGGGAGAAGAGGCTGACCCCCACCGTGTTACAACCTCATTTCAGGTATTTGTAGAGAGCAAGGTCTCCCCTCAGCCTCTTCTTCTTCAGAGAAATAAAAAAATTAAAACCAAGTACAGAAATTCTTGATAACTTTCAAATAGACTTTGTACATTTTCAGTTTCAAGTATTTTAAATTCAGTCAAGCTAAAAGGCACTGAAGCTTTCAAGATGCAGACACTCACTTTTACAATATATTCTGTTTAGAAATCTTAAAACTCAGTTAAATATAGTGAAGGTACTGATGGTTGCAGAAGCAATACAGTTACTCCATTCATTGCACACACTAACAATACATTAACGTGCATCTTTTTGTGATACTCTAAATTAATTTTGAAAGAGTAAAAAAAGAAAAATGGAGTTCAAGGAGAAAGGGTTCATTATATCTGTAAAAAATCAGAAAATAATAGCATTTGGAGGCAGAATAGAAGAAAAAGATGGAATAGTAATTAAAAATAGGATAAAAAAATTATAACATTATCAAAGACAAGTGCTCTGAATGCAAGCAGAAAAAAACCCATACTTGTCCCTGAGGATTACACAAAATTTACCTTCAATACTAAAGCTACTCAAACGTTTGAATTCTTCTGAATCATCGTACTTTGCCACTTTAACACCTGATGAGGTCAGAATGATGAAAAAGCCTTTTTTACTGTGCAGTTCGAATGCGCTGAGCCCTGGACTCCAGAGGCCCTGGTGGTGGAAGAAGGTGGCTTGTCTCCGAAAGGAAGCACTTGCCTGCCACTGCTCCAGCCCAACAGTTTGATTGTCGTGTACGTACAGGAAGTAGTTTGGTCTTTCAGCAGATTCAAGGGAAACAAGAGAGAGTGCTTCCACAGAAGAATAGAATAAAAAAATAATAGTAAGATTTTCACAGAAAACAACCTAAATGTGAGAAAAAAACTCTATATATTTGCTGTTGAGTGGCTCCTTTTAAACAACTGCTTTTCACAAAACAAATGTATTTCATTTTTATGTAACACAAAAAGAAGAAATGCAGGGCTTAAAGGAGACTTCAAATGGTAAAAAAAAAAAAAAAGAACCACCAGAGGGCTTATCAGTCAGAACAAAACTACATTCAGCCTGCTGCTACCAGCCTTTGAAATCACTCGTAAGCAGTCTCAAATTGGGACTTGCTCAAATTGGGATTTTTTAAAAAGTTCACTTCAATGCCTGGCAGCTGTATGAAAACTTCATTCATAAATAACATCACACAAATATCATAAAACAGGCTTGACTTTCCCTTGAGGTCAGGCTTTTTTAATGTAGTCTTATGCAGCAATACAACAAGGAAACCTGTGGCCAAATAAAATCTTGACCCTCTCTTTGCTCTACCCAGGCCAGAAATTAAAAGTGAAGAAGAATTCTTTAAAATTTAATAACTTAGGAGAAGACTGACTTCAGATTTGGTTTTCAACATGAGTAAAATCTTGAAGTGTCTTTAATTTAGGTAAATACTATTGTGTTGTTCTTCACAGATAAGAAAGCTACCTGTGTACTGCAGATATAATTAATGTTTTGCTTCCACTTTACATTGGTTGGAGAACTGACAAGACTGTATTAATCTTTCTGTTCTACATGCTTTATAATTTCATAATCATATCTAAAAAAACTAGTTTCTCCACTGCAAAATTGTGAACTGTTTCTGAATATAGTTTCAAATTTTACTGTGAACGTAGCCCTTTTCTATGTTGACTTTTGAGGGTTTGGGTTATTTTTGACAAATTAAACTTTATGAGGAAACAATGACAAAGTCTGTATTGACTTATTGGGCACAAACCCAATGTGAAGAAAGGAAAATATATGCAGAAGGAAAAATATTTAAACATGTTTATTTTTGGCAGTATAGTTTGGTTCAGCCTGAAAAGTGAGAAGAGTTTAGGAATAACTGTTCACCTAAGAAACTTCCTTCTATGTTGTATGGAGATGCTGCTCACTAACAATGCAAGAGATAGACTAGTTGCTCTAAGTTGTGCATTTTATAGGCCACTGAAAGTGACAAAAATTAACAAAAGATAAAGTAGAAGTGATTTTACAGAAGACCAAAATATCATGCATTCACCTTCAGTGTTGATACTTGCTAGATAAATATGCAGGATATTCCTGTTTCCAGTTATAAAAACAATATATTTTTTTCCACAAAGGAATTCTATTAACTTGTATTTTGCCATATTTTTAAAATAATATTTGGAAGTTAGCATTAAAGCTGGCAGTAAAATTTTTCAATATTAAAAAACTAATAATAAAAATCAGTCTTTTCTCCTCAGTTTTGTATTTGGCTGCTTTGTCCTAATTTATTCCAGTAACTAAAGACATCTCGATTATTTTGGCAGATATAGAACATAAAGCAAAAATAATTCATATAGCTTGAAAAATATGTATTGCCGTTAGCAAAGTTGTTGAGAACACTTACATAAACCTTTGTCTTTGAAAAGACCTGGAGTTATCATGAAACTGAAAAATACATTTCCGTATGCTCCAGTTCTAGGCAGAGGAAATATCCTTCTACTGGATACATTAGCTCCTATAATTGTGTCATTCTCTCCATAACTTGCTAAAATATAGGGTCCTTCTCCAAGGCCTAAAGAGAGAAAAATAAAATAGAAAAAAAATATTGTATATATATCCTTGCATGCTATACAAACTTAATTGACATAACACATTGCCTTAAACTTTTCACCATACCTGGAATCAAATAAATTTGGAACTATATTCCACTGAAAAACCAAGAGCAGCACACTTCTAAAACCTCACCTTGTGAGTAATAAGCAAAATGTGTAAATTCTGTGCAAGATTTAATCCTTACAGTGAAAAGACTGAACCCCTTTCCCTGTCTAAGACAAGTCCTTTCCAAGATGACTCTTCCAATAGCGAAGGAATTACCAAAATAATTAACTTTGTCTCAACTAGAAGTTAAACACCAATTTCTGAAGAAAATGGCATGAAAACAACTACTGTTTTTATATGCAAACTACTCTGGAGCTCATAGGCACATGAAGCCCACAAGGTTGCCACAAAATGACCACTTTTAAGGCAGTGGTGAGGCAATGTATCTTAAAAAGACTCCTTATTCTAAATCATTGGATGTTTATTCCTACATATTAACAGGCATTTTGGCTATGACAGTAGTTAAAGCCTGAGTGTGTTATTAACCCTGTTCTTATCACATATACAAAACATATCCCCATACAAGCTACTATGAAGAAATTTAACTCTATCCCAGCCAAAACCAGTACACCTTACCACTTTTTAAATAAGAGAAATTTCTCTACTGCAAGGATATTAGGGAAAGTCAGCTACGTCTAGCAGGATCAACCAGCTGCTGCTATAGAGGGCCAGGCTCATTTGAGGAGAAAGAAAGAATCATATACTGTATGATGCTCATTATGCGATGCAAGTTGCTAAAAAAGATGTATCAAAAGTCTCATTCATATCATTTCATGTATTCAAGTTTCTCTTCATTTTCAGTATTCTGCTCCCCACAAAATACCTGCACAGTATGCAAAAATAAGAGGGGATGCCACAAAAATTTAGTTTATTAAATGAATACAACTGTCATTCTAGTGAACCATTCTTTAGAGAACAATATTTGTGAGACTTGTGCGTAAAATCCTGTGACCTATCTATATAAAAATATAACAGTTCCCAGTTCTGAAATTTACAGTACAAGCACAAGCCAGCATCCTTCTAGAGCTTCTCCTTGACTGTCAAGTAATTAATCCATGCCCACAATGAAAATGATGAGGTTATTAATTGAGACATTAGGAAATATTAAGATAATTCAAATCAGCTGGGCCACTTACCTTCACCAGTTAAAAATAGGATAAATGTTAAAACCACATACACCAAGTCAAAGAAAAGGCCCATCAGTTTTTTCAGTTGAGTATTTAATTGAACCATAGGAGTAGCTTTTATGTGTCAATGTAAGAAAGAAAAATAAAACAAACCAAGCAACTCTCAGAATGAAAACCTAGAAGATAACAACATAGTGTGACAAAAGTTCATAACATTCATGAGGCTTTTTTTTTTCCCAAAAATTATACCAAATTAATTATTATTCTGACAAATCTTAAACTCAGTATCATCAGAGATGCATTATATCAACACTATCCATTTTTTGAGAGAAGGACTTTAATTTTCCTGTGCCAAAGGCAATTAGTTCAGTGAGGTGTAAATTCAAACGGCAATTACCATGTTACAACCTTCTAAAATGCGCACTAATGTGTTGGTATTTGAATTCCTCACTATTATAGGGTTGTTTGTGTTTATGTAGGACAATCTCAAGTAATGCATGAGATATTGCACATTAAAACAGCATTGTAGCTACTCATAGCACAACATGAGGGAAGAAAAAGTCGGTATAATGACATAATGGTATTAAATGGGCAAGAATATGTTGCAAAATGACACACAATACTCCAGGCTGCTCATACAAGTCACTTTTCCTTTCAAATGGATTTGAAGGTCCAGTGAGCTCAAGGGATTGTGACTATGCAATCCTATCCTAGGGAACACAGAGAACGGAAGAGAGATAATCTCCAGCACAACACTGCTGCAGCTGACAGAGATCCTCAGCACAAGCTATGAAAGGTTTTATTTGCAGTGCACTGTATTGTGTTTCATCTGAGATACCAGATGTGTTGATTCACTTACAACTAGTATGTTTGTTTCCATGACACCAGTGTCCCTGGACATAGAGTAAAAAGGCCCATGGAGACTTTCTTTGCTAACTTGCTGAGCTCATTAAGCTCATGTACCCAAATCAAGAGTATAAAGAAAAGAAAAGAAAACAAAACAAAAAACCTGTGAAAGAGAGAAATTACCAAACTATATTTTCTTTCAAGGCTAGTTTGAGTGAACTGATATAAGATAAGTGTATTTTGGGTATTTGTTTTTAAAAAGAGAAAAAGAAATAAGGGAGGGGTGAAGAAATAAATATTTCAAAATTGCATCAAACAGATAGAAAGATGATAAAATATACAGAAATCTTCTGTATGTTGGAATGGTTGATGTGGGGAGTTGTCTACAACTAAATATAACAATAGATTCCATTTTGGAGCCAGGAACTACAGATGTGTTTCTAGCACATAGCTAGTGGTTATGTTAGAAAACATGAAGAGTAAGTGTATTCCACAAGGTATATAAATATGAGGATCAATCAAAGTCAGTAAAATTAAATATTACATACCTTGATTGTAATATTCACAGTCATAAGCTACAAAAAAAAAAAAAAAAAAAAAAGACAACACATTATTACAAAGTACACTATTACTATGGAGTAACAACAGAATCTGCAAATATGCATCCTAAAAATGTAAAATTCACTTTCATAAAGGGAAGTTTCATTTCCCATAATGTATTTGAGTCAGTGACTTTATTTCCTCAGGCTTTTAGTCAGTGACATACAGTTGCATTTAAAACAGATGTGCCAGGACAGCAGACCTGAAGCACAAGTTACTCCATAGTGGAGAATCTTTCTCGCTGTCCATGAAATGTAGAATGGACTGAATCTTTTTGCAGCCCCACCCAGAACACTGGACGTACCCCCCATCTGGTACACCTGTGCCCTCCCAGCGGTTTCTGCTCTGGCACATCCTGAGCACAGCCAGTCCTCTTCAGTAAGACAGCCAGTTGGGTGTGTAAGACTAACAGCTAACACAGAGACAGCTTGAAAAATATGCATAAGTACAATTACTGTGCACCTGCTTCTGTCATATTTGTATTATTAGGCATCAAAAGGCCAGGGATGCCTGAGAGATGAGCTCCGGTGCAAGGCCAGCCCAAGGACGTACCACAGAAAGAAGGAGATCGCCAGTGAATGACTGCTCCTTGCTGGCAGCATTTGTGGGCATAAGCTGCAATACTGGTACACAAGCACTCACAGTCCCCACCAAGATTGCAGTTGCATGTATCTGTGTGACAATTTTTGACAAAGGAAGTTACATCGATCTGTGGATTAAAAAAAAAAATTAAAAAAATAAAAAAATAAAATAAAGAGGTCTGGTAACTTGATCGTATGAGCTGTGCAAATTCCTGTTGTACCATTTTCAGCTGAACTGGCTGAAAGAATTTAACACAAAATAAGGTGTTTTCTAAGGTTTGGGTACACTTTTATACAAAAAAAGTGCACTTCAAATGATCAGCTTGTATCTACATTACAGGCCTAGATAAAATGTCATTCAGTGACTATTATCAAGTGTGTCTGTCCACACACTTGCTGTTCTTCAGCAGTTTTTGAAGAGTATATTGGAGCCGGCAGTTCTGTTTTTATAAGCCAAATACTGCCATCTATAGTCATGCTGTCAGTTTTGCATGCACAACGAGATCAGAGCTGCAATTCTGATTATCAACTAATTAAAGTAATAATTTTGTAGAGGGGATTTTGGTCAGGCACAGAAAACTTGAGTATGCTGGTGTCATTTTTCAGGAAAATATTTCTTCACTAATCCAGATGTTAATATACTTTGTCCTCAAACCTTAATCAGGTCAGAAATCTACTTTCCCACTTTAAAACCATGTCATTTTATGGTTTTACCTGATATGTTACCTCTTGGGTTTTAATCACCTTTTTGTAATCCTGAGCAACGTTTCCAAAACAGTGTTCTTACTCAACACATGGAATGTTTAAGCAATGCTTTTCTTCAGTTTAAACTCATTTTTAGACTTGGATCTAGCTCAGTTGTAGAGCACTCAAATGGCACACTTCAGATTACAGAAATACCATCACAGTAACAAAGCAGCACTTGTCTTACAAGGCCACAGCTTCTCAGCTGGCAGTTGCAAGAAGCCAGCAGGGAAATGAAGACTGTTTTTCTGCCCTCAGTAGGGAGAGATGCCATTTTGCTTTCATTCTTTTTCTTAATTTGAAAACCAGAATACCACTGGAATGGGGACACAAGCATTAGCTCCACTGAAAATAGCTGCAGTAGTTTCATGGCAATCACCAAAAAGCAGACTGGCTCCAAAGAGCTCAACTTATCTCTCACGTCTGCAGGACAGCATCTCTTCATGGGTCAGCAGCAGCCTGCTGCTGTGACAAAATGGGAGCCTAGGGTCAAAATTCTTGCTGAGTTCAGGAGTTATGAGGAAGCCTCATCACTCAAGAACACTCATGAGTAGTGTTGAGGCCCCTCAGCCCCCACCGAGTTCAGCACTTAACTGGGCAACTGTCGTCTATCAGTTGCTGCCAGCCAGAGATGCAAGCTTTTGTCTCCCTGAAAATGGGGTGTTCCAGCCTGAGTTGAACTCTGAGGCTGCCTGTCCCACAGGTAGGTGCTCCCCTCCATGCAGTGCAGGGTCTTCCACCAGAAGGAGTGACTGTAAGAATGCTGCTCTAAGCACATCCTGAAACCCATGTCTATACTTTTTGTTCCTTCCATGCCTCCAGTGTCAATCTGTTTGGGCTGTTTTTTCCTTGGCACCCTGTTCCCCACCCCTTCAGCCAGCAATCAGATGCAGATGTTCTTGATAGGAGGTCACTTTACATTACATTTCTAAGAGCTGTGTTTTCATATGCTGATGAATACGTTGGAAGAACACCTGGAAAATAATTCATTTATAAGTTGTCCCATGGATGGCTATGTGCATGTGAAAATAGTTGGCTACTAATTTAGTTATGTTTTGCACCTGGAATGCATTTTTTTTAAGTATTATGCAAATTTTGGCATAAAATTTGCAAATTTTAATCACAAGATATAGAAAATTAATGTTCAAGAGAAAACATCTTGCTTTTATAATAAGGACCTATTATAATACAGCTCCTTAAAAACTCTCAAAACTTCCATTTTTATTTACTAGTTTCAACTTTGAAAATACACTCATCACTATGTTCTCAGGCACATGCTCAAAAATTCTTTACAGAGTAACTAAAGTCAACATTCATAAATCTTTTGGGTTAAGCTACTGCAACCTCCTCCTCAGGCAAATTCCTAACCATGTGATATCAAACTTCAGTTCTGAAAGTCAGGAGGTTCAGCTAGGACATCTAATGATCTCATTTAGTATTAATAGTCATAAAGAAAATAAGAGTGAGACAAAATGTCATAGTAGTTCTTGCTTGCATATTCAATAAATAGAGCACCTTTGGGAGGCTAAAATCTGAAGGAAGGAGAAATGTACAAGGCATGTGTTGTGTTCAGAAAGGGTGGATAAAATAAAATATTCCCATACAAGCTATTGTTTTCTGCATCTTGTCCAGACTGAACTGAAGGACATTCTTGTAAGTCACATCCTGGGCTCAGCCAGGTATTGAGGAGACAATGACACCATACCTCAGAGTTTTGGTAAAAGCAGATTATAAGTTGTCATCCAATTGAAAATACTGATAGCTCTCATATTTCTTTCTATAGTGATCAGAACAACTAACAAACCATTTGAGATAAGCTGTAGGCACATTACATAAATGCTTTTTTTGAATCCTACAGTATATACAAAAGCCTTAAAAACTTAGGTACCTAGATAAATACAAGATATAAACAAAACCCAAAGAGAACAGAACCCTGATTATCCAACCTATTAACTCATGGCTCCTGGTTATCACCATTATGTTTAGGCTGCAGTCTTGAAGGGAACAAGGAGCTCTGTACAAACATAGCCCACCCACAGAGAGATACTTGGAGGACTCTACTCTGTATCCTCCACAGCATTCAGACAGGGGAATGGGAGGAAGAAATTAATTACTGGAAATGTAATATCTTCTAACATGAGAACACACTTGGATATTTAATAAACTTACCACATTGCGACAAGGTGCAAAAACGTCACTGTATAAAATTGAGCATTCCTTTTTGGCATAAGGGAACTTGCTCTGATACACTTCACATGGTCTCAGTGTTTCATTTGGGCTCTTGCACTTAAAAACAAGCAAAAACACCACAAACATTTTAGATGAAGGTGTGTTTACCATGGACTCAACTACACTATAATATCATATAATTCAATACCTGCATATCCAGAAAACAAAAATAAAGTTTAAATGCTGTCCTCTTCATCTTACCCTTCTCCTGATTTGTTGTTATAATTAAAAACATTTGCACAAAAAAGAATCTTTGTGTTTTGTTCTGAAGTACTAAAATGTTCTTGCTGTCTACTCAGTGCATAAAGACAAAATGTTTTCTTTGTGACACATTATAATCATTACCAGAGCAACCAACTGTAACATCACAAACAAATACATGGTCCAAATCCATCTCTGGTGGATGGACTGACTTTAAATGGAGTCACAGATGGCTTTAGCCCTGTAAGTTCAAATAAAGAAGCAGTGGTAGGAAGGGGGAAAAAAAAAAAAAAAAGAAAAAGAAGAAGAAGAAAAAAAAAGATCGTCATGATAACTCAGAAATGGCTGAGATAAAACTCCCTCTCTTCAAGTTTCTCTCAAGAAGAAAACCAAATGAACAAAACAAAACAAAATAATAAAATGACACTCATCTCAGAAAACATGAGTTTATCCAAAACTATAATCTCTTGGTGCAGCAGAGAAGCACAGGAGGGGGTAACGATGGATCCATGGGCAGCACTGGGGTGTCCTGATGCAGCTTTAGCTGCAATGCAGTTGCCCAGCCACGCTGCCCTCCTCTGCAGATGCTTTGACACAGCCGTGGGGATCATACTGCCACTCCGAGGAGGAAGAAACCCTGGAAGCATCCCATGCTCCACAGTGCCAATGCAAGCATGCTTGGCAGTAGGAGAGTTGGATTCAAGGCCTCCAGCTATCAAATCATCCTTTACAGTATTTAGATTTTGCAGAAAAGATGACCAGGATACATCTCTACAAAGGCCAAAGGTCCTTTCTGAAAAAAAACCCCTAACTCCTACTGTGGAGGCAGATGAAGCATCAAGCCTGGCTGAGTGCAGGCTGCCTGCAAGGCCAAGAAGGGACTTGGATTTGAGTGCTCTGCAGCCACAGAGATTGGAAGATGACATGAAATTTGACACATATATGTCTAAATATATAACCACAAAAAGGCAAGTGCAAGTTTGGGCTGCATAAGCAAAGCTCATAACATTGTAGAAGTTAAAGTGCTATGCAAACACTACACTTTTTTTAAGCAGCCACTGAACTGATACATCAGAAGAGAAAAATTCTTTAATTCAGACAAAGTATTTACACATTTCTTTACATTCCACCTTCTAGATAAGCTATATAACCACCAAAAGTACAAATTTGCCTCCCTTGCTCACACAATGTAAATATTTTATATAGAATAAAATTAATCCAAAGGCAGATCTTGAGGGAGAGAAGCTTCAAAACAGGTACCATATAGCAGAATAGGTACCATATTCTTTTTATGAAGTGAGAGATTTTGATTCAATTTCCTGCTTTGAGTCAGGGAGAGAACTGATTAAAAACTGGTTCTCATAGGCATCCTAAGGGAATGGTTTACAAATACTCATTTTTCAGAAATTTCACAAGGCTATAAAACCTTACAGCTTCTCTGCACAAATTAATAAAATACCTATTTTCCTGTGTTATAAACACAGTTGCAGACATCCACTCCCTACAGCCTCTTCCCTTCTCCTCAGAAATCAAGTTTTCATACTGAGTTGTGCCTGTTGCTGATCTGAACTTTTTCTCTCACCCTTTCAAAACCACTGCTTCCTCACTTTGTTTTCTCTTTACAAAATGCAAATAAAAAAAAACAAAACTTTTTTTTTTCAGTGTTGAGAAGTAGACTTTTTTCAATACCTTTTTTCCCAGTGTTCAGATTCTGTTTACTTTCAATATCCTGATCGAAGTCTCCAACACCAGAGAAATTACAACTGCTTTTAAAATTGGACCGATTGCAAAACATCAGAATCAATGTATCTAATTTTGTAGAAAACTGAAATCCAGACAACAGTGATAAATATCTTATGTAGGAGAAAATGTATTCCTTCCTAAAGAGATTGCTTGATATAATTTAAATTCAGTATGTTTTTGCTCTGACTTAAGGCAATGTTAACATCATTTCACATCTATAGACATAAAGATGTCTATAGATGAGCATGAGTTTAGAAAATCTCTGTATATCATCTGCTTAGAAACTGTTCATTTATAGATTAAAATTATCATCCTTTTTGTCTGAGTTTTTACTGAATGTGGGACTTACCTGTCCTAATACCCAGCTGTCTCCAAACACTTGTGCATTTCTCACCTCCATGTTGTTTGATGTAGTTAAATCATTTGAAGTGTATTTGTCAAAATTTCCACACAAACCTGCCAGTTTACCCTAAAAGAGAAGGTTTTATTTTTTTTTACATATACTGACAGTTTAAAATTGGTAAAAACGACATGTGGAATAAAGTATTCTTAAACTGAAAAAGGTGAATGCAACTCTGACTCATGCTTTGAAAATATCTGACACTCTGCTTTGCTTAGAGCTCCATATTGCAAATAACTTGTAATGGAAATTTATTTTCTCTTTTTTTCTTCCTGTTTTTCTAGAATCTATTCTTACATTCCACCTATTAAAAGAGACTGAAATCTAGTAATACTTTTTTGGTGAAATATTAGTAGTGCATCTAGTCCAAAAATCAAAAGTGCAGGTGAATAACCTCGTGATTGTGAAGCCTGACTAGTTGTGGTTGTTAAAACTTGATGCCTCTAATTTTAGCTCACAATAGCAAAAACATTTGTAATAGCAGTTACAAAAGAGACAGCTGCAACTTTCTTGTGTTGAGGCATGTGCTAGTGATGGAAAAAGTATAGATACATGCATACATATATACATACAGAGAGAAAAAGATATTCCTGCACAACAGTAAAATGTAGAGTTGGATTTCTAGAATGCTGTGGCTCACTCCAATGAATTCCTTTTCCTTAAGGTCTGCTGCAGAGGTTATCTTACTGAACAGAAGCCTCTGTAAGAAACAGTCATTGGAAACAGAAAGAGCTTGAAGTATTTGTGTCCCTGCATGTAACCTGCAGAATTCAGCTCCCTGCAGGCTTACTCAAAAACTTAAGAATTTTTTTCGCTATGTGCATTGGTGAGTCAGCTTGTATGTGAAGTAAGGGGTTTTACAGCTATTGTGACAAAAGCCTAGAATAGTGTTGCTTTAAAACCAGATTAAAGGGTCATTGTAATGTTGACTTACATTTCAAAAAAAAATCTGATATTGTATTCTAGCATAAAGTACCTTTTTTGTATTAATGGAAAGAGCCTCATCTCAATACATATGCTCATGATTGACATGAAGTAGGAATATAATTATCAAATGTGCAGATAAGGTTGCTCTCCCAGGAACCAAAGACTGAGTAGCAGAGACACCAAGGCAGATGATGATGATCATGTAGGAATGGAACAGAGAAGAGCAACTGGCAAGAGATTCATAGAATCACAGAATGTTTTCAGTTGGACAGGACCTTAAAGATCACCTCTCACTAGACCATGTTGCTCAAAGCCCCATTCAACCTGGCCTTGAACACCTCCAGAGGGGGCATGTGTGACTACTCTGGGAAACCTGTGCTATCGTCTCACCACCCTCTCAGTAAAGAATTGCTTCCTACTTTCCAATCTAAATCTACCCTCTTTCAGTTTGAAACAACTCCCTCTCAGTCTTATGTAGGAGGAAGCTCATATTCTCCCCTGCATCATGACTGAATCCTGGCACAATAATAATGTCCATTTTTGTTTAGATCCTTCCCTTAACTTAAATCCAAGATGTGGCTCCATTTGTTCATTTCAACAGCCCTACTACATCTCAGAGTACAGTTCCATAATCAATGTAACCCAGTCTGTGCTACAAACCTGCCATTTTTCATGTTGCTAGATTTGGAAGCTTCTTTTCCATTGGCTTCTACAATTATAAAAACATGTGGTGAACAGGGTGACTCTTAACTAACCCTCTCTTCCCTCCCCTAAATTAGCTTTGAGTCAGAGCTGAATCACTGCATATCTGCAAGTTTGCAGTGAGTGGATCAATGGAATAAATATGCACTTAGGAACCACCCTTTGTCTTCAGGTGTCCAGTAATTAAATCACGTTCTCCATATCTTCTCACCTGAGAAATGCTTGCTGCTGAGCACTGTGATAAAACAGCTATATCACTGGGAAAGTTAGTAATGAAGAAAAGACAATCAGTTATTCAATAGAAATCACATTAGCAACACAGAGTCTCAGATTTTTATTTTAGCTCACCTTCCATCGAGGTCCAACTTTAACATGCATCATTGTCTTCTTATCCCACAGAACTGTGATGTCCTGTTCTGGAAAGTGTATCACAGTATAATATCCAGCCTTCCAAAGCTGATAGTTTTCCTGTCCCTTTAAGGTGTTCTGACAGAAATGAATAGTTATTAAGATCTAATGAAGTAATCCTACCAGGGTATGCAGCCAATTAATAGCAAACCATATTCTGAAGAATACTTTAGCATACAGCTGGACCAATAATATTACTAGAAATTTTGTTTAAAACTTGGATATTTTGTCTTTTCAATCATTCAAGATGCTTTGATTTTGTACTTTGGTTTCTCTTTTAAAACCATGTGGAAAGAAACTAATAAATATCAAAATCTTTTGGCTGCTTGAGGCCTTTGAGAAATCTTCTTTGATGGACAAATAAAACTTGCAAAAAAGCAGTTTTTTTCCTGGGACCTTCTTTATCCAGGCTTAGGCACTTGTACTCTCTTAATGCAGACTGAGAGACATTTTCCAAAAACATGCTCCTTTACGGTTGTAACTTTAGAATGCTTAAGGGGCAACCCAAAAAGGAAAGAAAATAACTAACCTGTTTCTCAGAAGGTTCACTAAAAGAAATCTCAGTGTCTCCAACAGTGATGAAAATATTCTTCGAACAAACAATATCATTGTCAAAGCACTTTTTATTCTGAGCAATTATAGATATATTTGAGTTATCTGTGCTCTGCAATATGAAGAAGAAATAATTTTACTCATAAATTCACATACATTTCACTCCTGCAAATTTATTCCAGGCTTACCATCACAACAATATGTATATCTTAGTATGCAGACATCTTTGAAATGAAATTTAAGAAGGTTGCCAAACAATGAAATGCATTTCTCAATTCAAAGCTCAAACTTCGGAGTTAAACACAAAGCCACTTCACGAACTCAGAGATCAGCCTACCACTTAAAATAAGAGCCTGGTTTAGGCTTTTAAAACATGCTTATACACAGAATCCAATATTTACTGCACAGTACGGTTGTCAAAATCGAGACATGCTATAAAAGGAGCTTTATTTTTAAACCAAGGTACTTGAGATCAAGCTGTTTTCATATTTTTAAAATCAAGAAACCTACCATCTGTAAGTACTAGATAGAGCAATTTTTCTACCAGTACTCATCAAAATTTGCAAAACCATGAGTCATACTCAATGTTATTGGAAGGGGCAAAGGTTTCTGCTGACATTTTTGTTTGTGGTTTTTTCTTTAACATCTAGAAGATTTGTCTCCTCTGTCTTTTGATTTCTTAGTGGTTTAGTACCCAAAATTCAAATTTACTGCCTTCCCAATCCCATATCAGTTGGCTCTCCAGCCTGTAAACTAATTTTGCATTCTCAGCACATAGAATAATTTTTTCACCTTTGCTCAGCATCTCTGTTTATTCACCTACAGCTTCTGTGGTTCTTCTGTACCTTAAGGAAGACATACATGCACCCTTTAGTTCCCTGTGCTGGAACAAAGGAGACCAGCTGTATTTTCAGAGTTGATAATTATACCACAAACAAACAAAAAAGTTTAATTACTCTTATTGTTTCTTACTTTAATTTGCCTTTCAATTATTTTCTGTACTAAACCTTGCAAGTGAACAAAACAACAAGTTGCAACTATATAAAAGACTTGAGAGAGTTACGTTCATAACATTAATATGTCAGTAACAGTTTTTCTGAATCCAGTTTAATTCTGATAAAATTCAGTCCTACAGTAATTATAAACCTTAGATAAAATATGAAATAAAAATTTTGGAGGTGGCAAACCTACTGAGTCATCCAGTCTTCTGTGAGACATTTGAGTAGTGCTGGAAACAAACAGATGTTTAGAATTCTCCTCTTATTCCCACCCTCTTTGAAGCACACTCTGAGATTATGACTAGCTGAAACTGATTGCAAGTTCTAATGTGCACAGTGGGCAAGATGGGAAAGGCAGCTATCAGCAGTTCCCCGGTCCTGGGAAATCCTCTTGCTCCCAGCAAGGCTCTTGTAGACCTTCACTTGGCCAAAACGGGAGGAGGGATCCCCCTGCCTTGGTTTGAGTCCACAGCATCCCTTCTTAGAGATTTGCTCCCTCCCTTTGGTCAGTGTACCTCTGAAAGATGCTGGGTGTGTATTCCCAATTATTCGTGGCCTGTCTCACATTTGTACCCTTATTTGTTCTGTGCACATCAGAATTCAAGCATAAAAAAACATATCAGCATTTTTTCCTCACCAGTGAGAAACATTGCATCCAGGAAGCAACTTTTTTTCTTAATTAAAGTCATTGTTCCAAAACTGTTTAGAGAAAAAATTCAGTCTAATAAAAAGGAAAAAAACAAACCAAAACAAAACACAAAAGGAACAACAACAAACTAACCCTATCTGATGGGAAATGCAGAGGCATGTTTGTTGCCATACAGAAGAGGTGGTAGAGCTTTGCTGCCCTTAGTCTAGCATGGCTTACAAGCCAGAGGATGCTGCTACTCGGCAGAGAAAACACTTTACAGTAAGTGTGAACAAATGTGATGAACATAATGTGTGGGAGATGCCTGCAAACTTTCTGTTACCCTAATGCCAAGACTTAAGAAACAGGTGGTATGTGTCAGCCATTAGCTTGGAAGACAGTTAAGGTGGGTAAAGTTAGTCACTGGCTGCTAGTGGTAAGGGGGTGTAGGAAATCGGCATTTTGTGATTTAGCAGGGCAACTCAGTTGAAAAGTACTGAAAGCTTCAGGGAAAAGCAAAGTTCATTTCTTCTGTTGTGAAGTTGTTTCAGGTTGTACTCGGAATGAAATTGGTCATTACCTTTTTGGGAAATATACTGTGTTTTAATTCAGCCAGGCTTGCTACTGGAGTCAGTCCAGTAATTATTCCCCTCCAAGTCAGATAACAGCCCAGAGCCTTTTTTTATTTATTGGAGGTGGTTTGGTAAATTTAAGAGGAGACAAACTCATTAGTTTAGTAGATAGGATGCAAGCTGATACATTCTGTGTTGGCCAAATGAAAAGTGACCGAGGAAGCTCATGAGTCAGTTCAGAAAAGGAGTTTGCTTGCAGTTTATGGGTCTATTTAATGCTTAGGACATTGTGGGCTGTTTTCATTGCAGAGCTCATTCCTCTTCAGTTAGCTTAGCCTCAGCAAAAGGGGATACTCTGAGTTAATGGGGAAGCAATGTCTTCACTGTAAGAAAAGAGATGGAGTGCTTTATTTGAAATAAGGATATTTAATTCAGGCTAATTATCCCACAGTAAAAATACACCTTTTTTGGCAATGAAGACAAGTTCATGGAGCAGCAGCAGGCAGCTATATTAGCTGTGCTAATTGAAGCTGCTGCCTGTGCCTTCTGACAGGCCAGGCCAATCCCTTCAGCTGAACAGCATCAATATATTCAAGTCAGAAGTTTTTGTGTATGGTTGGGATTTGAGCCAACAGCAAAAGCTGAGTTATATTTCAAGTTAACTCTGCAGTAGAGAGAAGCCTGGAGACAGGGAGTGTTTTGCTGACCAAAGCCAGAGCAGGGAGTCCTGAAAACATGTGAAGTACTTCCTTACTTGTAGGGCTTTGTGGTGGTGTTAAACAAAAAGAAACGATGCAGGATAGAAATGCAGAAGAGACAGTGGAGGTGGTTCAATAAATCTATGAGTAAACCAGACATTTAAGAAATAGGGGTTTGCATTAAATCATGAGTCTTCCATGCTTTCTCTCCTTTTAATTAAGTCTTAGACTTAAACCCAAAAAAACACCATTATGGATTATGTCTATTTTGTGGCTCAAAGCTTTCACAGTAAGATTTGCTTTATATATACACCCTTGCCATTCTCTCCATACATGTCAATAAAAATTGAGTCTTTTCCCAGTCGTATGGTACCAGCCAAATTCAAAGTTGAATGACAGTTTCTATCATGGTCTTCAAATTATTCCATAACCGCTACATGTGCAGCCCTTTCTTCCAGCAAGGAAGAAATAAAATGTGATTGAACCATACCACTTACCTATTGCCAACACAAAAGAAGGAATAGGGGCTATTTGTATAAAGTGAGGATCGTGTTTTAATGTTTGTACAATACAGTAAGGTCTTGGGCAAATCTCAACAGCTTTTAGGGATGGGATAATTTAAATTATAAAGATCAAGTTCCATCTCTCTAATCTGCACTGGATCCACACAGGTATGAAAGCCAGCTTTTGTCACTACTACTGGAAGAAATGTCTGAGCAGACACTAGGAGCAGATCTAATGAATAACAAGGTGGGGGTTTATGTTCGGTTTCTTTTTTTTCTGCACAGTCTCTTTCCAAGGCAGAATTGCTCTTTACCTTTTTAGGTAAAATGCACCCAACAGGGAATGTACTACAGTTCATCATGTGAAACCTACTTACGCTGACAGAAACTAGAAATAAAATGGTTTTCCCACTGCAAGAGTATCTTCCCACGTAAATTACCCTATCCAGTCTGTTCCAACTTAATATCAGTTTCTTTGTGATAACATGGAGTTGCCAAGCAACAGGGAAGACAGAGTCACAGCTCTGGGCAGTCAGTCAAAAGCTCATTGTCAGTCCCGCTTCTCAGGACATTCTTTTTCTACACTGCACTTTTTTTCCATATTTCTTCCTAGCTAGTAGCGCTTGGGAATGCTAGGGTTTATTTTTGTTAGAAAGTTTCTATTTCAATAACCCATTTGAAATTTTCTATTGCTCTGAACCACTAACAACAGTGTGCAGGGTGCTCACATAATCAAAATGCAGCCTGGGAGAAAACAGTTTAAAAGTGACTGCATTCATCTTCTTTGAGAGTTTCCTTAAAATCTCTCTAACTGTTCAGTGTAAAGAGTCATTTTTTTCCATTCTTAATACCCTGATTTCCCTTTTTTGTTGCTGTTGTTGTTGGTTTTTTGTTTGTTTTATCACTTTTTGCAAGCTTGATCCTAGAAGTAAAGCATCCCAGATCTAGTGAGCACTTAGGCATAAATATTTAAGTGTGCCTTTAGACCAGCTAGATGCCTTGGCCCCTGACATGATCTTGCTCTGTTTGTTTCTTGTGCCATTTTATGGAGTGGTTGATCTCCAGATAATCATTGAAAACACATTCATTATGCAAAATTCATTCACCATTTACACCAAGAAGCACCTCCTCTTGGAATGCTTCTTTCATTTTGCTGGTGTGATAATTTCTTCTATACCATTTCAAAATTATATATGTACATTCTGTGTCACTTCAATCACTGCTTTTGCATCCTATACAAGTTTGTACTGACAAATCCTTTTCCCCATAGCTATTCAAACATTGGAGTAATATTGCTTGGAGTCAGCAGATGGCACTGATACACATTCTCTCCGTTCGGGAGGAAATCCATATGAAGGCTGGGAAACAATATTACAGGAAAGATAGTAGGTGATCCTCTTACAAGAGATAAAAATGGAATACTTAAATAGTATTTATTTTTCCACTGATGTTATGTATTTCTATACAAGTAATTTTAAAAACCTCATATTTAGGAACTAAGATCCTAGAAGCTAAATTGTTCATGCACACACACACACAAGCACCTAAATTCTCTTTTCCTCAGCATCTTCTACAGAGCTGTAGGTTATATGATTATTTTCACTTAAAATACAGCAAAGAAAATTGCAATACACCTGGAAGATATGACACATTTCTAGATTGTAGCACAGTTGAGTTGAAATGGAGGAGAGAACATTATTTGAGTAGCTTCAC